TAGATATAGATATATAGATATATATAGATATAGATATATAGATATAGATATATAGATATAGATATATAGATATAGATATATAGATATAGATATGAGCTTTTCTTTTCATGACAGTTGAGGAATGCCCGAACTCCTGCTCTCACCACGGACGCTGTGAAGGACGAACCTGCATCTGTGGGCGAGGCTGGGAGGGAGAGGACTGTTCTAAATTCTCCTGTAAAGACAGGAACTACTGTGGAGAGTTTGGCACCTGTGTAGGGCCAAATATCTGCAGGTGCCGAAACGGGTGGCAGGTACACATTGTTTAGTAGCAAAATAATTTCATTGAAACCTAATGCGAAGGACATTCTGCCAAGGGAAAACATATTTACTAAAATCTAGAAGATTTGGTGGTCTGTGTTGCAGCTTTAGTTGATAGCAATTGTGAATGTCCTTGTTTTCCACTCGTAACATTGCCATAATTACGCCATGTTAGGGCCGAGCATGCACAGTTAGCTACTGCAACAGGTTCACCAGCTGCAGGTCCTGTACACGGGAGGTTGGATGTGGATGGTGCGAGGAAAGACAGAGTTGTGAATCTGGGCTGTACAGAGGGCCGGACGTATTACCATGTATGACATGGTTCTACCACAGCTGTTTCACTGTGGGGAAAAGGGACCAATGCTCGAGCCAAATAGAGGTATTTTCTCCGAGGAAATTTTGTGTTTTGTCGTTGTTAATAGGAAATTGACAATAGGTAGATAAAATTACCTTCTAGATTTCGAGCTTTGTGTCAGATCTTTGCATTTTTTTGTGATTTCTTCATTGTCCAGGAATTTTGTCATTGTACTGTAGTATTGATGTCTTTTGATTCATCCATTTCAGGTCCTTGACTGTGAGCAATGGCAATGCAACACCTCCCTCTCCACAACTACCGTAGAGTCCTGTCTAAGATGTCAAGACGTAAAAGGGTGCTTCAAGGACTTGGTGAGTTGTCAGGATAGATAAGCCGCATTCTCATATGGTATTGGCTATGGCAATATTACGGCCACTCGAAAAGTGCACTCCCTGTCTATTACACATATACTGCAAAACCTATATCTACAGAAATAACCGTGTAGATGCAATAGACAATTGCAATATATAGCAATAGAGTGAATGGTTTGGTCACTCCAGTTTAGCAATGACCGAAACTCAAACAATTTACTTGTACTAGGGCGAGGACTATTGCCACGTGTGGAATGAAGATCAGTGTCCGAAGGGTTTCATCCACCCACTGTACAACGACACCACGCGCATTGAGAAGATTCTCATCGGCCATAACGTCGAGTACGTCCCGCTGGAAGGCAACACCTTGTACCGGTGTCCTGTCCGCTCCAGCTGGGGAGCCACCATGTTTGTGAATGAAGGGGACCTGGACATTCGGATCGGTCAGGTGCTGTCCAGTCCTCAGGCAAACGGTGTACTACACAAGGTGGAACAAGTTATAAAGACAGGTGAGAAAATATATAATGTACAAAGATTGTCCCTGCCACTTTTTCGAGACGATGTTGTACGTAGTTGTTCCAATTGGATTTCGGTTGCGAATTACATTGATGGCCCCAATTCAGAAGAACTGAGACTTGCCTTGTGTTCCTACTACAGACAGTTACATCGTGATAGTGGCGCACCCTGCTACTCTGGAGGAAATGCTGGATTACAGTGACTTCAGCCAGGAGGTTGAGCTGGAGATGGCTGTGGACATGAAGAGGAACGAGGGAGTTCCTGAACTGTCTGTGGTGGAAAGGGTGCTGAGTGGAAACGGGACACTCAATGGGAGCACTGTCCATGTCATCACGGAAGGTATGTTACCGTAGTCTCAGGAATGCTTTGTGTATGAATGATACTCTATGCATAATGTTTAGTATTTCTAGGTACAGAAGTACATGCACAGGTAGGTGGACGTTTGGCGTATAAAAGATAGAAATTCGAAATGTTGATCTCTTGAGATGTAGTCTTCTTTTGGAACATAAAACAGGACTATTTGTTGAGTACAACGGTGACTGTGGTGTTAGAAGTAAGATTTTTATATGACATTGAAATATGGCATAATTGTTTTGGAACAACTTCACAGATGCCCCCGTCTACAAGTGTATTGGGGCCCGGGCCATGAATGAAGGAGAGGGCAGCTACCACCTGCTGATGAGAGACATCCCTGATCACCTGTCAGTTGGTGACGTCATAGTCAGTAACCATAGCAACGGGATCCTGGAGCAGGTTACCCAACAGACAGCGACACCTCACGGAGTCTTCATACAAACTCAGCTGCAGGATTGCTTTTCAGCTTTTAAGTAAGTTGAAGTCATCTAACTACCGTTCTAGTACCCCATACTGCATTTTCCTAATTAAGTTGCTACATCCAAAGGTAGCCGCAAGGAACATGGAGCAACAAGGCAAATCTTAATGTAACGTTAGCTGGTGATGGATATTACTAGATTTTATCATTTTATCATTCTAGCTTCCGGGAGGAACTGACAACAATGGACGGAGCAACCCTTCCTGCTTCCCTGCCATGTTCGGGTGGACCGGATGGAGCACACGGGCTGCTCATCGTGGACTCTGCGGGAAGAGAAGTGGACCTGGAGACTGGCGACGTGGTGGTGGGGAGACGGAGTGGCAGGCTGCTGGCAAAAGTGAGTACATGCTTTAGATGATTACTATTGTAGACCGTCATTCTATGAATCAAACTGCCTTACTTTTGGCTTTTGCCACGTACGTTTCCTAATGGCTGAATTCCTAATTCCTAATTTGCAAATCTTCTAGGTTCTGAATATCAGCACTGCGGCTGGGTACAAGTTAGTGGAAGTGGAGCCTATCCTGAGCAGGTCCACCATGACAATGCCATCAAGAAGAAGAAGGCGACGGGAGGATGTCACCGTATCTCCACCCAGGCTTCCTCTAGACATCATCATGGAAGACGAATTCTCGGTATGGTTGTTTTCCGGCAGGCAGAGATTTGATATTGTCAAAGGCTAGGAACTTGGCTCAGCGTTGTACTAAAAGAAAAAATATTGCTGTTGGAGAAATTCGTATCACATGAGAGAGAATGGGAAGGATTTTATAGCCCACGATATCACATCGTTTTGATTTAGAAACTTTTCTTGTGGTGCTTCACATCAGTTAATTACTACACGTTAATTTGATTTGCTGATGAAACATACGATCCGATATACCCACGGGAAGATATCATGGGAAATGATATCGACCCTTCGGGCTGTAGATGTTTAGCATGCAATATTAGAATATACCCATACAACCCCACGTTATATGATACATTTTACAGGACCTCACGGATAGTCACAATATCAAACTATCTACAAGTGGGAGACTTTCAGCTGGAATCAAGCTCTCACTTGCGGTGTCGACGTCAGAGTTTGGAACACCCACGCTTAAAAAGGCCGAAGCTTCCTTCGTTGGTGGACGGCTAGAAGTAGGGCTGGGAGGTTCTTTAATCGTTTCGGAGAGGTAAGTATATCCACCAAGGTGTCTATGTACATTCAAAATGGTACCTATCCGTAACAATTATCAATTTGAAAAAGAAATACAAGGAGAATACCGTACCCAGAACATTTTATGCTCGTTTCGAATTCGGGAGGCGGGGATTACAGTCTTTTAGAACTCCATATTTGAAATACAGTATTGCTTATCATATTAGTATTTCCTGTGATAAGGAAATCGTTCTCTGCCTTTCTGTGTTGAATCCTAGTTAATCGCTGTGCGTTTCATCCCATTAGTACAAGTGCCAATGGCAGTTTCCCGATGGCTCTGCATCCTATCTACCCCTCTCTCTGTGTAGGAGAACAACTGTGCATACCAGCCAAAATATGGGCAGACCTTGTCACCTCGTATGAAATAAACGCTACGGTGGGTAAGATCGATTTGGAATTACAATGCAACAGCCAACAGAATCTTGTCCTTACATCACTAGAAAAGATCTTACCATACAAGATTACTGAAAATTCTAAAAGCGTTCTTTTAGAATTCACTGGTTTTTATACTGTATTTCTTTGTCGTAAAGCTGTTAATTAGTTTTCTTGGCACATGTAGTATGATCGCAAACTTTCGTCTGGGATGACTCTTTTTTTTAACTCCATCCATACACCAGGGTCCAGGCAGTATTCAAATGTCCTCCACTGTGGTCAAACCAGACATTGACGGCGGGGGAAGCTGGCAACCACAAGAAGGGAGTCAATGGTTCTCTTTCGACCAGAACGAGGAATCCGTGAGTGTTTTACGAAAGTCAACATCTTGCATAATCATATATATCTTCAAAAGCAATCGATACCAAAGCTTTAGACTGGACCATCTATATAGAAGGTAAAGTGCTTAGGCCATGTTGATGTGATTATACGGATGACATCCACGAGCGAATCAATTTTCGTCCTTTTCCCCAAAAAAAGTATTCGACCATACTGTAAATCGTACAAAATGAGCAAATATATGTCGTATGTTGCAAAAAAAAGTATTGGAAAATGATACTAATGTCATAGAAGACCGAAATCAATTCAGGAAAGGAAGAAAATGTGAAGAAATGAAAATGTCTATTACTATTCGCCATACCATACTCGGTGTGTTTAGTCATTTGTTCAACCTTTATGACCACGTAGATTTCACAATAAAGGAAACTTTTTTTGCCAAAACTCGCCTCAGTTTGGGGTCCCCAGAGGATGTCATCCATAAAATATCAAATCAACATGGCCTTAACGAAGTACAAAACACGTGCACCCTCAATTGACTTCCCCTCTTTCTACTAAAGGACAGTGCAGATATCGTGATATCTCACTATTCGGGAACAGCGACCGAAAGTGACCATCACATCGAATTGGAGCTTAAAGTCCAACCACGGTTTTTCATCGAGTTTCCCACATCTGGAGATATTGAAGCTGAAGAGTTGACGATACCACTAGGTAGGCTTGTTTCTAAACATGTTATTTTTGCCTGTCTATTCAAGTATGAAGGATGCTTCCAACAAAATCAGTCTTCTTTCTAGAGATTAGAATATTCTCAAAAGTATACTTTATGTTTGTGTCCAGATGTGAATGATCCAGGGGACGCTTTTGGGTACAGTATCACCACCTCCATTCAGGCCCAAGCCCTCCTACGTGTATCAGCCCAGTCGTGTTCTACTGAGTGCCCGTATTCAGACAGACCACAGAACGTTGACGTCACGTCATCATTGGACTATCTGACAGGGACGTTCAACGTAGTAGTCGGAAACAAGGATTACTATGAGGAACAACAATGGAGACGTGAGGAGTGGATGGACTCTGACAGGTTAGAAATCCTTCTTGATTGTTTGACACCAACTGCCCATAATGGGTATTATATTTAAATCTGTAGAAAGCCGTCTTGGGTGCAATGTTCGATACGCGACATTCATATTGAGAGTTAAGAGGGACTAAGACTTTATTTTCGTTTTTACAGCCAACATATCGGAGGTTGCCCCATTCTCTACTTGTGGGTACAGAACCATTTTGTTTCAGTATGAAGAGATATCTTTAAAACAAACTAAGATTCTAAACTTACCATTTCCCATTAGCCCAGAGAAGTTAAATACATATTAATTGACAATATACTTTGTTTCAGAGATTGCAAAGCACAGCCGTCAAGTATTGATACCTGTAGGGACAGGGACGGTTGTTCGTGCCCTGATAGAGCAACCACAGGGGTGCCGCATCCTACTGACGAGAGCTTCTGCATGTGCCCTTGTGACTGTGGAAATGGGAACATAAGCTTCACGGTATCAATAACTTTCCTCTTTTGTGATGATGATTGTTCCTAGATGGCCGACACAATCGTATATACCTGGGAAAACACCACTTCTACCATTTCTTCATAACAGCACCCAGACATCTCCGGTGGTGGATGTAACTGTGAGTTGTGCCCTGATGGAGACTTCAAAACGGTGAACAGCGAGGGACATCTGTACTGCCCATGTCTGTGTCCTGACAACAGCCCATCGGAACTGACCAGCAGTGGGAAATGTGACGTACGTTTTGTCATATAAATTTTTGTCAAGGATGTTGCAAAAATGCCAGCTACTCCTACATTAATTGGACAACACATCTACAGGGTTTAATAAATCTCAGTAATACAAAGGTAATGCAGGGATCTGCAAAAACGTAAGGAGCAATAACGACCGCGGAAAGTCACGGGCAACACAACGTTACATGTACGTCATGTTGTGGACTGGTATACTAAGTCTTGCAATTCATCTTGTTGTCTTTACAGTGCACGTGCCCCTGTCCTGACGGTAGCAGGGATGTGTTGCTGAGTGACGGCAGCTGTCCGTGTAAGTGCATCTGTAACAACTGCCACGAGTCGGTTCTTGGTGATGAAGGCTGCATCTGTTCTGACAGGTGAGACATCAACTTGTCTACCTTAATGATGTGCATTGATATGACATGCACGATGACATTTTGATACCTCTTATGAACCTTCCATAGCTGTCCTGACTGTGAGAATGACGAGGAACCCGAGTGGCAAGACTGTGTCTGTAAGTGTCCACAGAAGACAGAGTGCGGGATCTCACCTACATGTGTGGTGGGGAGGATGGGGCCGGACTGTAGACAGCCAGACTGCAGGCCATGCCAAGGTACAGTCGTATTTCGGGGGTATCATCCTCATCTTTGGCTAGGTTTGATTTTCTTTCATGTGTCAGGTAAGTTGGTAACGTGTTCGATTGATGAAAGGTAGCGTTTTACTCAGCCCATCTTCACAACGAGGCCTTATTCTCTAGCTTTCCGTGATTGCCACACCAAGACTGAAGATGACCCAAATCTGTACTTCTTGCACTCACAAGGATAATGTTTAAACACTGGTGAACTGTTTAACGGTTTAACCTTTTTCATTAAGGCTGCTCCGGGAACGGACGATGCACCACGTCAACAGACAGCTGTCAGTCATCCTGTGTCTGTTGGCCGCAGTGGTTCGGTGACTGTTGTGAGCTGCGCCGTCCTCGTCCTATTGGAGGGGACCCTCATCTCCAGACACTGGACGGTAACGATATCTTGCGTTGTGCATATACAGAATGTTTTACTCGTACCAACATCATGTGCAAGGTACGTGACTAGTCAGAGTGGCCTCAAATGCAAACAATATCGTCACTCAGCACCACAAGACAAACTCCCCTTCTAACATGATCCAACAGTGTTGAGCTTTTGGTCATACCCTCAACGATTCTTTTTGATGATATCAATAATTCTTTTTGTGTTAGGAACGTCATACGACTACCACGGCATTGGTGAGTTCTGGGACTGTAAGAGCGTCTCCAATGACTTCGGCGTACAGACCCGGATGTACGCCTTTGAAAGGGCCTCTCTGATTGGTGGAGTTGCAGTGAAGGCTGGGCACAGCGTTGTCACTCTGATGACGTTACCCAGTGCAACGGAAAAGGACGTCCCCACTTTAAGGTAAGGGTTTCCTCGCATCTACATACAAGCTTGCATAGCTAATGATAGAATACATTCGTAATGTAGATTCGTAATGTATATTCATCAACATTTCCCATTGATGATGTTTGACATATGTGACATGTAGTTGAGCTGAAGACAAGAAACCTTTTTAAATCGCATGTTTCTATCATTTGGCCACATCAGGATCGACGGTGAATTGTGTCAACTTTCTGTCGGAGAGAAATATCTCCTTAACAATGGGACAATACATCTGCTCGCCCAACAACCTTCTACAAACGCAACAGAGTCAGGGGCTGTTATCATCGTGTCTATCACCTTCGCATCAGGTAAAGTTGTCCTCTTACGTTACCGTTAGTGTATTCCATGTAGTATATGCGTAGGTATTGGTAAATAGCACTTTACAACATACTCGGCACATCAAGTATGATTTTTGCAATGATGTTGATGTATTCGTGTCCCTTTTTTCTGATCTACTAATTTTTTGCATTCCTCAGTGCTATTAAGAAATCCCGACGAAACTGACAGTTTTAGCAATTTAATTTCGTATCTTTCCAAACAACAGGAGCAACTGTGTCCTTTGACGTCCGGTACTCACCAAAGATGGGCCGACAGTTTGTGAACATTTTGTTCAGCCCCACTGCCACGTTCAAGGGCAACACGGAGGGATTGTGTGGGCTCATGGATGACAATAATACCAATGACTTCACTGGTCCAGACGGCGCTGTGTACAACGACTCTTCTGTATTTGCTGAAACCTGTAAGTACTATGATAGATTTTGCCATAATCATTAATATGTCTATGAAATACTGGGCATAACTGTAAATTTTACGTTCAAATCTCAAGTATTTGTATAGTGCAAAGCGATGCTATTTTGCAGCAATGCCTTTGTTGTGTGTACCTCTAAAGTACACTGTTTGCTTTCCTGATCTAAATGTCATCCTTTGATTTTCTAGGGCGGATAAATAAAACCCACCACGGCTCTGGTCTGATGGGGTCCTGGTCATGGAACTCTTCTAACTTCCATCCTGATGACGTCATGGATCCTGCCTATTCTGACCCGAACCACCGACCTTCTGTGGGCATAGATGGGCTGACTCAGGAAGAAAAGGAAGTAAGTGACTGGAGTTTGGACTGCTTCTACTAGAAACAGTTTAAAAAACGCTGTTTTCATTTTTATCAAGAAAGTTGGGACCTTTTATACTGAGACGGTATGGCCATGGCCAAAGCTTGTTTATCACCCTACCTACATTGGTGTAAAAGAATATACTACATACAGATTACAACATACAAATTTGTTGTGTCATTTGCGCTGCAGAAAGCTGAAGAGATGTGTATTGCTCTTGGGCTGACCGGCACTCTTCTCAATGAATGTATCTTTGACGTGTCAATCACCAACGACACAACCTTCACTGAGCAAGAGGTTTTCAAAGGTATAATAAACGCACTTTGTTCTTGATTACTCTGTATTTGTAGCATTCTATGTTGGTTTTCATCTGGAAGTATTTACTGCAGAACTTAATGAAAGCCTTGTTATTCTGTTGAAAACAACATTGTTTCACTCAATCTACAAATCTACACCATTGCAGGTTGCCCAAACCAGTGTTCCGGTAGGGGTCGCTGTGTAAACGGAACCTGTGAGTGCATAACGGGCTGGTCTGGTGAAGACTGTAACCTTGGCAACTGTACAGACTGCTCCGAGGATCACGGGAAATGTGAGCTGGGGTTCTGTGTGTGCGAGCCCGGATGGGAGGGAGCAGCCTGTGATCAACAAGGTACAATGTAATACTGGAATAACCTCTGTATGGTGTATAGCACGCAGCACGCATCACATAAAAGGGTAATATCGTGCATTATGTCTACACAGTGTCAGTCATTTTCATGTATTGAATGTTTTCTTCTTGCATCTAGTTGATCTATTGGGGAACACAGATACCAGGGTGTGCGTTCATCGAAAAAGCAATTTGCATTATATGCCTTTATCACGTCATACTTTTTACCTGTTTCGTTTTTACCTCCACAAATCTTCTGCCAGTGCCATGCCAGTAAATATCGTAAAGTGACAGTTGATGAAAAGGGGTTCTAATTGTTTCTATTTCATCTTGTAGCAACATGTTATGCCGTCAATAACTGCACCAGTGTGGACCACGGGATCTGCATAACCACAGATGTCTGTAGATGTGAACCAGGCTACATCGGTAAGACAAACATCTTCAATCATGTATAATATTGAATATAATATATTGAATTGACTTGCAGAACTTCTGTCAATAAAGAATCTTACTTCACCATTATCAATCACCAACATGTACAACACCTAGGTGCTGACTGCAGCAAGGTTCCCACGTGTGGAAATGTTGCTAACTGCACAGACCACGGAGTTTGTGTGGACTACGATACCTGTTTGTGTGATGAACAGTGGACAGGTGACAAGTGTGACCAGTTCTCATGCGCAGCGTTGGATAACTGCTCTGGTAAGTTCATGTACTATATTTCTTTCTCAGTATGTAAGTAACAGGGAAGACATAGGCATTGCGTAGGCCATTTTGATAACATACGGTATTTACAGCATGTAAGTTCATGTTCACAAAATTTGGGAAACTTTATTGAGTACTACAGTGAGGAAACGTGTATTTTCCATGCAGGGCACGGTCGCTGTGTGGACATAGACGTCTGCTACTGTGAGCGGGGCTGGACCGGCAGCTCCTGTGTCACTCCTGACTGTCCTGCAGTCAACCAGTGTTCCCGCCAAGGAGACTGTGTTGGTCCCAACATCTGTCAGTGTTACAGCGGATATCAAGGTCTGGACTGCAGTGAAGCCCAAAGCTGTCCTGACTTGCAAGAATGCAGTGAAAACGGGGCTTGTGTCATCAGTTCTGACGGAAACGAGGAATGCCGGTAGGTCTTCGTAAAGTTATGATTTTGATCTGTTATTAGAGAAATTAAATTTTATCGCTACTCCGAGATATGACCTTAATGTTTGTCTTTTGTCGTTTATCATTTGAGTATTGTAATGGCTTCGACATAATCATGATATCTGCTGTTGCTCTTGCATTACAGCTGCTTCCCAGGGTTCAGCGGTGCAAATTGTAGCCACCCAGACTGTACTGAACAGAATAACTGCACTAACCACGGCAGCTGCATAGAGCCCAACCTGTGTCAGTGTGACAGTGGGTACACCGGGAATGACTGTGCCAACTTCTCTTGTGAAGCTTTGCAGTATTGTTCTGGTAAGTACTGATGGATTACCAAAGTCTATGATAATGACAATCCTTCGCGTATTAGCCATAAAGAGAAACTTAAGACTTTATACGGACATTCACAAAAATGCAATTTCAATCTTTGATACAGGCCACGGAAGCTGTGTGGGGTTTGACACTTGCAGCTGCGATCCTGACTGGTCAGGTGGCTCCTGTAACGTTGCAAATTGTAGCAGCAAGAATGGCTGCTCCAGCCAGGGCACGTGTGTTGCCCCAAACACATGTGAATGCTTCCCTGGGTTCCAAGGAGAGGACTGCAGTGAAGAGAACGTGCCTAACGAGAACCCGCCCACATTCCAGAAGGACAGATACGATGCCACGATTCCCGAAAACCAGCCAATAGGAACGGCGATAGTAACAGTATATGCAAATGACACTGACATTGGACGTAACGGTGAGGTCAGGTACAGGCTTGTTCAAACAGGTTTGGATGATGAAAACTTTGCAGTACATCCTACTTCAGGGATCATAACTTCAGTCGTAGAGTTTGACTTTGAATCGTTGGATCACACTTCGTTTACTTTCATGGTCGAGGCATTTGACCAAGGGGTGCCGACACTGACGGGAACAGCCACGATAACTATAAACATCATGGACCAGAATGACAACAAACCTGTCATCAGCATTCCTCCTGACACCGAGTATAACCTTCAAGCCACCTCCCCGATCGGCTTCCACGTGACCACTGTCCAGGCTTCTGATGCTGACAGGTCCGACGATAACTCCAGAATTAGCTACGGAATCACAAGTGTCAGCCCCTTTGTGTCTATCGATGCCACAAACGGCAGTGTAACCGTCAGCAGTGCCTTGGAAAGTGGCACCTTCGTGGTGAGGGTCCGTGCGTCAGATCACGGTTCACCGCCGAAAACAGACGAAAGGAGTCTTCGTATGATCGTGACCAACGTCAGCACCAACACAGCTCCACAGTGTCCAGAAGATGAATGGATTGAGATCGCTTCTCACAATCTTACAAGAGGTTCCACAGTCGCAACCATAGAAGCAGAAGACCCGGACAACGGTCCAAACGGCAACGTTTCCTACAGTTTCAAGTCCCAAACAGGAGAACTGGCAAGCTTATTCGGCATCGACCCGTCAACTGGTCGGATTTATGTTCATACTGAAGTACCACAGATTAACGACACTTTCTCAGCTGTTTCAATGACAGTTGAAGTCAGAGATAACGCTGTAGATTCCATGTCATGTGAAACGAAGGTCGTTGTGATAATAACTTCACCTGAGTTCAGTGGAACCGTGCCAGACAACGTATTCCCAACAACAACAACAACAACAACAACAAAAACAACAACAGCAGCAACAACAACATCTACGCTGTTAGCAACCACATCTCAACCAAAAACGACAGCTTTCGACAGATCTACCACCGGTTCTACAACGCAGCCAAACATTACAACAGACGGCTATACAACAAGCACTGCACCGGCAACAACAACGGAAGGTAGGGGTGCATCTGTTGAATAGTTTCATACAAATGCTCTACGAGTAAAACATAACAGCAACAACGAAATTGTGGTGGGATGGCAACTCTTTTATCATGATCGTTGCAGGCAAGATGCCATTTTTGTTACTTGTGTGCACATTGAAGCTGTTAACATGACACATCCTGTCATTCCGGTACCTATGGCAGTGGAAGCACGTTCGTTCAGAGGCGTCCTGAGGATAACAAATCTGGAGTGGAAGGATGAACTGCTGCATCAAACATCTGATGAGTTCAAGAATTTCTCTAAAGTCGTCCAAGAAGAGGTCAGTACAGAGTAAAAATTTAACCAAGAGACTCCATTATAATTTTCCTTTGCACTTTTTTTGCTAACTAATCCTAAGTTTGAGTTATACGTTCTTTTCCATAGCTGGATGGTGTGTTCAGCAACAGCAGCCTTGGGGATACATACGACTCTGTCGAGGTTACAGTCTTTTCGTAAGTAATTCTTTACTGCTCTTAGGTTTACATTTTATCTCCGTATGTGAACATCACACATATGCGATGTTTATTGGTCCTGTCGGCAGTGAACTTTTAATACCATATTCCTTTACCAAAATATTAATTGTTTCATGCTTTATCCACTAAACATTGCAGAGTGGTAATTGAGGTTGCTCGTGATTGCTCGTACGTAGGCAAAGCTAGCGTAACAATTACAATTTTATACACAATTATTGATGTCTACTTTTACAGGCAAGTTTTTGTCCAATGGTTATCTTTCAGTCCCGGGAGTGTTAAAGTAGACTTCACGGTTCGTTTCAAGTCACCCACGGCCATTGATACTGATGACGTCCAAGCTGTGTTGTCGGGGAAGAAAAACATTGGTGGTCTGGAGATAGACGATACTGTCACCAGCATCATAGCTATAGGTATTTCCACGAATCTCAGCATACTGTGCCATATTTTAAAAGCATTATTGGAACCATCATAATAAATCCAAGCGACGAAGGGCGTTTTATCGGCATTACCTGTGCAACAATTTTGATTCACAATATATGTGACATTGAGATCAACGGACGACTTGGCGATGATTGAAACGTTTATCATTTACCGTACCCACAATCCCAACAGAACAGGACTTGTTTTAAAGATTGCACTGCTGTTTAATCTAATCTAACTCTTTGTACAATTTCAGAGGTGGCCGGAGATGAGGACAGTGCTGGTGAGCATATTTGTCACAGTTCTTGATCAATTGATCCATCAAAACTAGGTTTCGCTGACTTGACTTGATAAATGAATAAATAAGTGAGCTGCTATAGACAACAAAATTAATGGTCGAAAGTTTCAGGTAATTATAAGACGATAACGAAAAGATGGTGATAAGCACCACATGATAAGCATTATCGATATTACGAAGGAGGCCCTCAGCCGCCTCAAGGCATTCAAACTGATAGTCGGACTAAAGATGGGCCTTTTTTTCTTTTCAGCATGGTACCACGACCCTATATACATCTCAGTCATCTGTGTTGGCGGCTGCAGTCGTTGTCACAGCGATCGTTGTATTGGTGATTTGCTGTGCTTCAAAGGTAAGGAAACAGTCACAAAATGCAAGGAGAAATTGCATTCATGCAATTAGACATAGCTGACAAGTCTTAAGTTGGTATCATTGAACATGCCATGCGTTAGGAAGTATATGTTAATGTTTAACACACTACCCCATTTTATAACATTAACAGGGTCGTCGCAAGCCCGCACCCAGGCATAACCATGGACAACGCTTGCTACAACAGCACATGCTGATTCCACGGGCGAAACTCTCGCGAGAGCCTGCGAGACAGATGTACCAGAACCCAGTGTACAGCGTCAACGAATGGATCGGGGATGAAGATGTAAGTTAACGTAATATTCAATTTACGGCTGTGATCAGCAATGATACATGATGACACAGTGTATCTGATGAATTCAGAAGGAACTTAGATGAAACGAATACAGATAGAACTGACCGCTATTAGTTGACAAGTGTAGAAGTGCTTCTGTAGTGCTGTTTTTAGCAAGTTTTGACAAGTTGTTTATTGTGAAATGCGTGTTTATTGATAAAGCTTTGGAACTATTTATGTACCTTGAATTTTTCTCTAGCAGTTAACTCGGCCTTCGTTTCAAGTACTGTCCCTATCCTTCCTGCAAAAAGGAACATCATTGGCTATTGACAGGGAAATATTTTGTAAATATTGTAATGTACAAAATGTTAAATCTATTAGCACTTAAACCATTTGGTAGACTTGATGACAATGTAGGCAATATATATGACAAAATAACAAACCCAGGCGGGAACTTTCGTAGGTCAACAAATGTTTATTTTTGCTTCTTTCGCAATTATCTTGTGTTTCAATGTAATGAAACAAGTCTACTTAGCTTGCACTGATGAACCTGGTGTTGGAAAAAAATACAGCAAATGCGAGTAACGTTAACGTTACTATCAGACGTTTTTATACATTGAAAGTGGTGCAACACACTTGAAATTAAAGTTTTGTCATAATTCAAATAAATAAATAATATCCAACCTCGGCGTCATCATTTATCTATTAACCTTAATAACTCATAGTTATAGGAAGGAATAGCATTTTCCTTTGTTACCAAGATAAGTACATCATAAGCCTTATATGGCTGATTGTTTTCCTCGTCTAATACTATTTGAGGATTAGTTTTCAGATATCTCACTTAACAAATCAATAGAAAAATCGTCTGGCAAAGACAGGGGCACCTTCTCCTTATACAATCGTACCAATGAACGCACTCCTAAAGTGGAAAACTTCTCGATCGAATGTCGTGCCAAATCACGTTACATCTCTTGCCAAAACCTAGCCAGCCTGGCTGCACTGCCGTAAGTGTTAGCTTTAGACCCAATACACATGTTGTACTGTACGGCCGGGAGGTTTGGGTCACAGTGGATGGGATGGTATACGTGGATCAGACCTGGGTCCACCGAGCGGAAGGTTTCCACCTCACTTTTGACAAACTTGTCAAAGAGGCTGAGGTCCTCCAGTCCCCATCCCCGGATGGTTGTGTCAAACTGGCCAACATTGGTGAAGTCCTCTCGGTAGAGACAGGCCATACCGTAACTGCTAAAGCGCCAGTAGCCAGTGTCCTTCGTGAAAAGATGGTATCCCTTCGCAGTTTGGCCTCCTCTCCGGTTTGGTTGGTCCCCTCCTACATTACCCCCTACGTCAGCAAAGTTGGGGTCATACTGACTGAACATCACAGGAAAGTACACCTGGCGACCTAATACGGTATTGCTACGGCAACGATCTAGGAAATTCTCGGTAAAGATCAAGTCCACGTCACAGAAGAAGAGCAGGGAACTGTTTCCAAAGTGTGAGGCTCCAGCATTGAGGCCTTTCCCTCGAGAAAACGGCCCAGCCATAAGGATAACCTTGATCGTAGAATCGGGATATTTTTCTCTGTAGTCATCTAAAACGTCTAGAGCTCTGCTAGTTTCTTCTTCTGTGCTTTTGAACAGAACTATCAGGAGTTTTCACATTCGATTGTGTTTCCAGACAGACTGCCTCGTAGTTCTTCATGAATCTTTCGAAAATTGACAGGCGGCCGTGAAGGGGCACGATGATGTGTAATGTTTCTTCGCTAGTTGGTGTCGGTGCCATATCAGAGATTAAACGATGCCATCCGTTGTCTTTCGAGTCTCTCTCCATCAGTTCGGCACCTGTGTGTGACTGATGTAGGTAGAGCGATTTTCTTCCCAGCATCATTCTGGCCTTGTGCTTGAACTTACGGCGGCAAACAACGATGAGGTCCAGCTGATAGTCGGGCCCTCTGATCGGGTCCACCCGCTGGTATCCGTGGCTGATGCTGCTGTAGTCACACCTGGTGCGGTAACGGCGTTGGTACTCACGGTTTACCGTATGCAGTGCCTGTGGGGAGAACAAAGGCACGAAAACAATGTATTTCTCAACGTCTTCCTTGTTTCTTGCTAGGTGTTTGCATTCTGGTATTGTAGAAATTTCTGTTGAGATTGTTTATAAATATCAACAAGGATCACAAGCAAGAATCACAATCACAATGTTTACATACCTGTACAATGTTCTTGTCCATCGATGTTGCTTGTTTTTTGTTGAAACGTGCGCTAGACGCTTGCATGCTGACACTGTACAAAACTTTGTTGAGACTGTTCATGAATAATCGCAAGTACCACAAACAACCATAACTTTAACCGTCACAATGTGTGCATACCTGAATGATGTTCTTGTCCATCGCTGTCTTCAAAACCGTAGGTGTTCTTCTACTGGGTCCTACACCCCCGATAGTTGCATGTTGGTACAACATTTTGCCAATGACAGCGTTCCATGGATACACATCCCGGGTCTCCCTCGGATGAAAGTTTGCCTTGAGGTGTTTTTCCCATTGTGAATAAGCTCGTGCTGGTAGCTTAGGCTCTATCAGTTCTGTCATCTGTTCGACACTGTGGTGTAAGTCGAACGCGCGTCGCTTCAGATCGTGTATACGTTGGCCGAGGAGGTAAGTATGAAGCTTGTACTGATACTGGGGACGTTTGTTTGGGTGAAGCGTGATGGCGTTATCTATGATGGCCTTGTGGAGCTCTCCAATATTCCCCCTGTTGTAATTCTTGTAGTCGTTGAAGAAAATGTCCCTGGTATCGAAAGCAGACGTACAGGTGATCCCAGCGAACTTCGTGATGCACCGTCCGATTTCGACGTCCTCGTGTGAGGAGTACAGGTTCTTCAGGCACCAGGGGATGTTGGGCACCACCCTCCGCAAGGTCTCCCGGCTCATGATCATCCCCGGCCCGCCCATGCAGTAGTTCTCATCCGGTCTCAGTCCAAGACGGCCAAACTCGTCCTCTTTTCCAACTCCAGCCTGTCCGATATAAAAAGCACGACTAGAGTCCACTTTTCGAAGGAATTTTTCAAGTCTGTCTCCACGTATGTAGACATCATCATCCGCGCGTACGAACCACTCATACTCATCCAAGTAGTGGTCATGCATGTACTTCAACATCAGGAACGCCTTCTTCTGGGGAGGGTAGACGTCCGAAACTCTCGGGATAGAGACGATGGGAATCTTGTTGCCAAGTGAGGCTTTTGAATCCGTCGCCGAAAAGAATTCCACTTTTCCGGAAATTTGTTTCCCCCAGGTTTCGTACGTGGCGAGTGCCCGGGAATTCAAATACTTCTTCGCCGTCATAACACCGACATAGATGTGACCCTTGTACTTCAGCGGGTGAGTGGAATCTGGTCGGGCTATCTTGGCTTGCTCACTCGCTTCGGACAGGTGGCCTGAGACGCTCTGTTGACCCAAGTTCTTATCAGGCACCATCAGAACGGTAAGCCACACGGTCATACTGAAACCCAGAATAACACCGGCCGAGAAATTCATCAACATGCCGGGCAGGCCGCTCGACAATCTTGGTCGTGCATTCCCCATCTTTTTGGTCTCCCTCCTTTAATTTTCTGAATAAAAAAAGGATACAGAAGAGATTTGTCATCATTGTAGGTATACGTATAGCACTCATCTTCTGGCATAACATTCAATGTCTGAAATGATAAGATCACTTCTTCGAGGGAGGTCAGTTTAGACAGTTTAATGACGCATGGCACCACCAATCAACCTTGCACTCGACTGACCACTCTCGAACCAAGGACATTATCAATGAAAAATGTGGTCACTTAGATTTAAGTTAGAATGCATTTTGGTCACTCGTCTTTGATATGCAAAAGAGCCATTTGTCTGAAACCGGAAACACTACTTTCCAGCAAGGAAGTTTTATTTAAGAATAACCTTAGCCTGATACATAATCGCAAACGATAACCCTACATGCATTTTGTTCCATCATCTATTGTCAAACAGTGCGTCAGCCTTTGGGACGAAGGGAGGAAATAACAACAATGGGGTATTTTGTACCGAAGAACTGCTTCACTCTAGCAAGCAAAATCAGACACAGTACCATACAAATTGATCGCTTAGCTATATTCGATATATTCGACGAAGAAATTCCGGAAAGGAACACTCACCAAATGTAACTCAGCGTTAGATTCACAGGGCCCGGTTAGAACACATCCAGGGCGAAGTTTCTCCCCCTACAAATCACGAGTCCACACGGTGTTGCCACCTGTTCCTGGGTTCCAGGTGCACGGAATGTTTAAACTGGCCTACTTTTCTCAATGATTGCATTACTGCTGTTTGGTTAACGGTTTTGAGTTGTTTCCCTAAAGAGGTCGGCATGCCGTAACATGTAACGTGTATATTGTGACGTTCACCTGGTAATCAGGAGAGGCATCAACTGCCGCGGTCAAAGGTCAACGGCTTGTTTTATGAAGTACACTGATGACAACCGTCGCTCCCGTTTTTGTGATTTCTTGCCGCCAGTTTTAAGATGTTGTGAAATATTTTTATACCATTCAGAAGGAGGCAAAAGTGAGTACAGAGGGAAAGTGTCGATGAAACGGCAACATCACAGTTCCACGTTTTATCACGGTTGGTATGTCACGTATGGGGGAGGGGGGCATGAAATTCTGTGCGACAGCTGTGCCAACCGGTCGTCCAGCTGTTGTGTTAGTAGGTTTTTAACCAGTTGTAGGTCGGCAAGTGCAAGCTGAATGCAGGAAGATCAACTCGAGGGAGGAAAGATTGAATTCAGGGCAAAAAATTATGGAAGACTGCTGACTGGACTATATTTCCATCTTGTTGACTATAATTTTCTTGATCACACCATCGAAAAGCTGCTGCAAAATAATTATAACACTTCAAGATGGTGGTGGAAATTGAGAACTTCTACGGCGTGTATCTGCTGTACTGCACCAACCCCAAGTACAAGGGCCGGACGTACATCGGCTTCACGAACGACCCGAAGCGGCGCATCAAGCAGCACAACACGGGCACAAAGGCAGGGGGAGCCCGGAGGACGTCCGGCAAAGGGCCCTGGTGAGGATCATTTCCATGTGGAATTTTGTAAAACAGAAGTTAGAAAAAACGTAGTTCAACTTGTTGTAGTTTTCTGTCAAGTTCTCTGGAAAAAAGGCACTTTCAATACCACAATATCAGTTTCATGTTGTTTTGCAGGGAGATGGTACTGATCATCCATGGGTTCCCCAACAACATCTCGGCACTGAGGGTGAGTCAAGTATCACAATACATTGCAATCCTAATGACAAAATGTAATTTGCAACCTCTAACACAGTGATGGATTGTATTTATTGAGCTTATTTTGCTATTACAAATGTATTGCTACTTTGATTCTCTCCAGTTTGAATGGGCGTGGCAGCATCCTGACAAATCCCGCAGACTGAGACACCTTCCAAAGAAGTCCAGCAGAGAGACAGCTTTTCAGGTACATGAGTGACTCAAACCTTTCATGTACTGTCAAACTTGTCTAACTAAGAAGACTGCAGCAAAATTTCTACCCATTTTGTGTAAGCTGTATGGATAATGGGGTGAAGTCACTGCTTGCGTTGTTAAATTATTAGACTTGTAATATTACAACCCAAGGCTCTGTTTCTCTTACTTAGATATAAATGCTACTTATCATAGCAACAATATCTATACATCTATAATTTTCTACCTCTATTATCTACCTCCAATAGCACAAGTTTCGCCTGGTGTCCAACATGTTACGAGTGGGTCCCTGGTGTAAGCTGCCGCTCACCGTCAGATGGTTAAAGCAAGAATACATGCTGGAATTTGATCCCCTCCTGCAACCACCCAACCACATGCCTATAGGTATGCCCAATTTTGGCAATGGTCATCTTGTAGTTAAACTTAGAGCATACGATTCATGGAGTTCCTTACCCAGAAATATGATTATGATAAGCTAAGTACGGTAGTCCTTTTTTTTTTGGCTTTCATTGAAAGCCAGAAACCTGAATTTGACCTTGTACAATTAAGTGTTTTGACTTTAGTAGTTTATTGACATTTCTACAAATCTATGCACTTATATCTACTGATAATGGCAGCAATAACCAAACTAAGTTACTTCATGCCTCCTTCCCTGCAGCCTATGGACCTGTTCAGAGCAAGAAGCTGAAAAAGAACAAGGTCAAGTCTGTTGCCAAGGAGACACAGAGCAGCCAAGATGATGATGATGAAGATGATTTTGTACATCTGTCTCAAGGCAGAGTTACCAGATGTGGTGTCTGTGTGAAGAGACTACAGGTACATGTACATGTCATCCGAAGTCAATGCCAAATCTTGGCCCATATGGTAGCTGCACTTACCTGTATCACTACTAGCACATGTTCAAAAATGTCATTTTACTCTTTAGTAGGACAACACTGATGAAGGTAGTTGTAGATCAGCATTTGAAATAGACTTAGCAATGTTGGAGTCACTCACTCATCAGTCCCCTTCCGAGCCAGGTGGCGCATGGGGCTCCAAGTAGCTTCTCCATCTAGGCCGGTCAGTAGCCACCTCCATCGAGAACCCGTGCCTCCTCACCTCCTTCTCTACTGTTCTTCTCCATGTCACCCTAGGACGACCTCTTGCTCTTTTGCCCTGCGGCGTCCACCTCAATGCTACTCTTGTCAGATCACTTGCTGGTTTGCGAAGAACATGGCCTAGCCATCTCCATCTGCGAGCACGCAGGGTCTCGCTCACTGGTTTAAGTCCTGTCTTAAGGTATAGGTTCTTGTTCGAGATGGTGTTAGGCCAAAAGATTTTGAGGATTCGTCGTAGACATGTTGGAGTCTCCAACTGGGAAATATAATGTAATATTTCTATGCACCTAGTTGCTCCTATTTGCTACATTAATGCCTATGACCCGTTCATGATTGCCTATCTTCACAGGACTTTGACAGTCAGGTGTCATGTGTGCACCCCAGCTGTAGCATGAAGGCCCACCTTACCTGTTTGGCCAGGCACTTCCTCAGGAGAGCAGAGGACAGCTTGTTGCCTGTGGAGGGGACCTGCCCAAAGTGCAAGGTGAGGCCAGACTTCAAATTCTATTATTGTAAACAACCTTAGCTATATGTATGTTGTAATACCAGGGGTCAGTGGCTTACCCGCTATATTTTTTCATGTGAAAAAAAGATAAGTGCAAAAATAAATTCATACAAATGCTAGAATGTAATGGTAGTTCTCCAAAACTAACATTACAACTTTTATGGCTTCATGTATGATATGGTTTTCTGCTCCTCCTGTCGTAGGTTAGTCTACTGTGGGGAGAAGTCATCAGGCAGAAGTTAGGATGCCAGGATGTACCACCAGATCCTGATGATGTGAGTATTCTAAACATGATTTGCATGAATGCTGTAAGCACCATTTGTTCCCATAGGTTTGTAGAACTACCAATGTACCATCTTTTTTGAGAAGGAAACAATGCCATATGAAAGGTATATGAGAGTCCATTTGGATACTAAGTAACTTGACATATTTTTTGTCCTTACAGCAAGCATCACAGTAGTCAGATGAAGTATGAGGGACCTTATATATGGACCATCATGGACGGTACACTGTCATTGGGAAGAATGATGGCACCAGTCACTGGACATCTTTCAATGGTCTTGTTGCATTTGTAGAAAGAATATTTAGATTTGGTCATATATTTGTAACAAAAGCTTGTATATTGTGGAGAATGGTAAGGCCCTGTTTGTATGACCTGTACATCTATACTAGTATTTAGGTTTTTACTGTACTGTTGTCTATTTTCATGGTGTTAGTATAAAATCTGTCTTAAATCTGATAACCTAAATTTTAGAATCGTGATTGATTTGAAATATCCTATTTAAAGCAGTTTTATACAGAAATGTTAATCAATTTAAGTTGTAAATATATGTTCTAAGTTGAAAAACTACTGGTATATATTTTAGAACTTAGAAAGTGCTAGTAACTTACTAGTTTGCTTATTTCTATTACAATATTTATGAAATTATCACCAATTGATTCTTGACAGCCAACATAGTGTTTTTAACGTTTGTATTTATTTCAACAATAAAGTTCTGGACCGCAACAGAGTAAGATTTTTTTCTTTTGTATCATGTCCACAATAGTGTTCTTCACAGGTCTCCTCTGGAAATAACGCTGGCTAATATACAATAGGTAAACATGAAACTCCCTCAGCTGAAGATTGGTGTTCAAAAATGCAGTTGATGTACATATGTATAACCTATTGTGTGGGTTATTCCACTTATCATATGCAAGATGGAATAGAAAAATCTACTATTTCTCTTTCATACAAAAACAGTGCAAGCAGTGGTACATTTGTAATACATTTTATGATGTTATACAGGCCATTCTTCAACTGTAACATCAAGCATTGTTGTTAAGTAACAGTTAACAAATACGGGATACAGAATAAAAGGCTTGTAACAATGAACTACGAAAGACTATCCAGGGATAAAAGTGCAGTTGTGGCATCTCAACTACTGTTGACGATTACAACATGCACTACAGAACAGAACAGAACTGACTACTTGGTAACTATTGTTGGCAGCAGTCGTGCAGTGGTGAAAAATACAGAAATCCCATCTGGAGGAACCAGTTCTAATCAAATAACAGCTGCTTCACTGCTGCAAGCTCTATATGCAGTTTGTTCTAATCATATGTATGTAATCATAAGTAATATATTCCACATGGCAACTGCTGTGGACACAAATATGCACATTCTACTGGTCAGTACATACTCCTGTATATAAGTTGACTGTTGTAACTTAAATGTTCCTGAAAATATTGTATCCAGGTCTGGCATTTTCAAGTCCATGAGCTTGATTGCATGAATCTGATTGTATTTCTGTAGTCTTGCTGTGGCAAGGGGGTTGAATATCTGTACTGCATACGATCCGGAAAGGCTCCAAAAGTTCTGACGGCAGAGTTGTTCACCAGTCTACAGCTGAGGGTGATGTCATGTCCACAGGGGGCGGGAGGGGGGGCTTGGTACTTTTACTCTTCCTCTTCATCAGCTGGCAGACCATATTTATGCTTGATGTCCTTCCACTGTTTCTGTAGAAAAAAAAAAACAAGATGTCAAACTTCTAACGTTTGAGCAACTCTATACATTCTCAGGTGAAGCATGATTGGTTCTTTGCATCCAAAACCTGCTCAACTGCAAGCACTGAAACAAGTTAGTTCTTCAGGCATTCATGATCTTGAGTTATAACACATTAGTACATCATGTGTACATGAAAACATGCTGGAAACAACTGCCAAGCATACCTGACATCAGAACTTTATGGGTACAACAAACAGGTTAACACTGGCATTCAAACAAGGTAACACATACAAATGTACATGAACACTACTAGTGCCTACTGAAGAAAGCTTCACAGGTTGGAGATGGGACTTATTTTTATGCCTTAAAAATTCATTTTTCGAGTCATTTTCTTGTAAATTCTCCCAACAGCAACCACTCTGAACCTTTCTCCATAGCTCCTATTATCCAACCAACCCAATAATGACTGTATATGAATGTTGGTGTTCATCTGGGCACTAGTCATCCTGTGCTGTCACCCTATCCTTGATGTCTTTCCACTGTTTCTGTGGGTACAAAGGTATTTAGACAGGCTACAAAATCTTTGTGTCACTGCTTACACCTTAGAATTCCCTTCAAAGTGCATCAACAACATGAAACTACGTAAAATCATCCAAATATGTGTAGAACCATGGAGGTCTTTTTCTACCTCCATGGTAGAACGACACTTGTGCCCTTGGTTGTGTATGTATAAAGGTCAACTTTTCGATAGACTGCAATCGCACTAAACCTTGAAAATGAAACAAAAAGTTGCAACAGAATGCATAAGCTTAATAATCTGTGTTGTAATGATGCTGTTGAATATGTTTTCTGCAGTCTTTCTGTTTTGAAATCGTTAAATTTTACTTTTCATCCTCGTAATATTTTCGGTCGCCCTCCCCAAGATGGCGGCCACCGGTTACGCAAAATTTCTTTCAAATCGTGCGCAAAACTTACCCCTCTGTTCAGGTGATCCCAGAGCATATCGCCGCCACTGTCAAACGCCCTCTCGAAGAACACCGCGCCGAGGAGGATCGTCAACGCAAACGTCGACGTCCGCCGGAAAAGATTGTTGTAGACCCGACGTACAACCGCGTTCACCATCTTGCTGGAGCCTTCTACAAAAAGTCACATACGCAAAATTATATCCATACGCTCCATTAACAAAAGCGGAGTATCTTGACCGAAAAAGTCAGAAATATCCATCCAGAAATTTCCGTAATCCTCCTGACGAAAATCCTCTACGTGATTTGTTTTAATCTTTGGTGGTAATTTACATCACTAGACCGTTAGTTTAGGTTTCATATGAAGAAAAGTAGTCCCATTTAGCGGATTGACAAACAGATGTGTGTGGTTGCACAGTGCGAGGTCATGACATTCAAGATGGCGGCGCCCAGGATGAAATTTTTCGATTGAGTCAAAAACTTGTGATTTTAGGAATCAAAACGCCGAAATTCACACTACTGTGATTCATAAAACGTGGTTACTAAACGCCTAGTTGCCATCTAAGGTAAGAATATTTATCATAATGCGCCAGTTGCTCTATTTTTTGTGTGTGTGAATAAGCATGGACTCACCCCCCTCCCCAGGCCGTGCCAAGAAGTTTTGGTGAACTTGACTGTATACGGTATGGTACTTGTACAAACAAATTATAGGCCATATCCAGATGTATTTTCCTTTGCTGTATCAATTTTTTATCAACAAAAATTACAAAAAGTTATGGTTCTGCGTGTCCTGAATATTTGTTTGCCAAAAATATATTTATTTATTTTGCTTGTATTTCCAGTGTGCTGACCATGGGGAAACGTTACTACTGTGACTTCTGTGACCGATCCTTCCCTGACAACCTGCCCGGCAGGAAGAAACACCTACAGGGTGTCCAGCACCAGCGGGTCAGGAAACTACACTATGACCAGTTCAGAGGTAACCTCACACTTGCATGTTGTCACATGAATATTTGAAAGATCATTTCTGAGCTGACATCATCATCATCATGCCTCCGGATTAGTGATTAGTTTATACTAATCCGGTGAGGTACACTTGATAAAGTTACTCCAGTATGTCCTGTCTCTCATAGCGGACACTAATGCAGGCCCTGCAAGACCAGTGTCTCTCTCTAGCATGGACAACAGTGTAGTATAAGGACGTCCCACTCTACGTCTCCCAGTAGGGAGCCACTGTACTAGTCTACCAGCTGGTTCGTTACTACGAACAACATGCCCTGCCAGGGCGAGTCTACGTCGTCGGACCACAGATGAAATGGGCGGGAGAGACATGATTCTGACAAAAAAGCCCTGTCCATGTCAGTTTAAGAAAAAAATTATACATTTTGTACTACAGTAAGTAATAGTAAAATAAAAGGAAACGCAGATGATATCGAAGAAAAGAGGCACATAAAATGTATGTGATAATTTTGGTGTACATGCTGTGTCTTCTCATTTTGTACCTTCTCATATTCGGAAAAGGATTGGGGAGCAGGGCAAATGTTAACAAACGGTACTGCACATATCCTTTTGGTCCCCAGAAGAATCAGACATAAAGCTGCACTTTTTCTTCCAGATGCTGCTGCAATCCTGGCAGATGAGGCTGTGAAGAAACCTTGCAAGAAATTTCAGAGAACAGGTGAGCAGAAAAGCTCTGTTCTTTTTGTAAACATAAATATTTGAAGTAACACCTTTTCCTTGTCTAGCTGCATGAACATTGTTCAGCATAATTAATTTATTGGCTCTTAGTTAAAAGCAATAACACTTAAACTGAAAGAACAACATTGAAATGGAGTCTGACAGTCAGCTTTATGCCCTGAGGGCCAACAGAAAGCAGTTTCAGGAAGTGATTATACTACATGTACATGTAGTTTTCAACTTTGCAGTCTTCAGAGAAAAAGAGAGGAAATACATTTGAGAGGTGATACCATTTTATCATCTATAGACTGACAAGAGTTAGACTGATAACATATCAAAAACTGATCAATATATTATGACTAGAATGCGTATTCCGACCTTCACCCATTAATCTCTGATTTCAGGAGAATGTGACTATGGTGACAACTGTCGATTCTCCCACATGACTCCTGACAAACTCAGCGCTCTACAGGAACAAGCAGAAGGTATTCACACAGCGAAAATTGCTGTCTTTTTCTAGAATTTGATATTTTTTGCAATAAAACATGGCGTGCAAGGACACCTTCCCAGGTCTACCGGTATTACCATTGAAAGATTTTGATGTTGGCTATTTAGGTTTTCACTTGTTAATAATGTTAACATGGATCCATGGTTCATGAGTAAAGGTATTTCTCTTTCTTTGTCTTCTCTAGCTGATAAGAGACCTAAGCTTGAGGACAGAGTGCCTACACTAGCAGACTGGTTATCCAAGAGAGCACAGAGGGACCAGTCCTCCCGTGGACACACTGACTCTTCAAACCAGAACCAGTCAGCAGAAAACATACCTGCACATGTAGAGTACTCCCTACCCCCTGGGTTTCCCCCTCTACATGAACTGCCACCCTCATTACACCCCCCTCCCCCAGGGGGGTGGCCAGATCATCATCCTAGTGTGGAGTGGGGCTGATAAAGCCATGGTAACAATACATGTATTTGATTACTACATGTAGTATGGTTTAGGAATGTCGCAAAAGGTATAGCATGCATAGTTCAGTGGTTAGTGAGTCCCTCTGGTCCAAGAGGTCGATTCCTGACCGTTGTTGCTCACCTGACATGTAGGCTACTGTAAAGGGTTGCAGTCCAGCCAGTAGAAGATTAGCTCTTCCGTGAGCTAAACTGGTTTGAGATCACTTTCAACCTAAGCTAAATAAACTTATACAAAAGCATTACGCAATGACAAGCCTTGTTTATTTGCTCTATGAACAAAATGTTAACTAACCACAGTGCTTTACCAGCCAAATTGTGGTAGATCTACATTGGAACACAATATATGCAATATTACAACTTCTAATACATGTAATGTTACTTACAATGTATAATTACACTCAACTCACAAGGAAAACTGGAATAGTGCACATACATGTACATTCTAAATTGGTTAGATTATTACATTTTCACAGATTAAGCTTTATTTAAAAAAATGACCACTACAGATGCAAAACATTAAAAAAAGGCAAGTTCTTATTTAGGATAACACTCAAAGTATTGCACACAGTATTATACACTGTTGCACACACTGTAATACAGTAAACATTTCAAAATCACTGATGAAAATATACACTTCTGATGAAAAATTCAAGCTAGAAATACCACAGTCTATAGATTCCCTGGAACCTTCTTCTAACATTAATGACATCTTTATTTAATCGTTGACATCATACACTGGGCGAATTTTAACCTCAGAGTTCTCCCCCTTCCAAACAAACTCACCATATTCTTGCACCTGTTCATGTATTGCTTTTCTCAAAAGTCAAAATTTGATTAACTGTAACGTAGGATTATTATTAACTTAAGGAAGGTGTTTCTTTTTGATAGATAGTAACGTATATACAACGCTCGGTCTGATTGGTGCTTATTTTGCAATGGTAGTATCAGATTCGAAAGATGCACTGGAGTAATATTTCATATGTGGCCCATATAGAAATATGCAATTTATCAAATGTTTGACACACCCCAAAAGAAATGGTTCGACCCAGGTGTTGGATTATTTATCTTCATTAAACATCATCAACCAGTCAACAAGAAGGTATCAAACGATTTGCTGCCGGAGCCGGAGCCAGTCTTCTCCCCACTCGTTCCCTGTTTGTGTAGCGGAATCTGAGTCTCAGAAGGAGACACCCGGAGAGAAATCACACCGTGAGTGACAATTGTCTTGATTTTTACATTTCTACTTGATAAATTGTAGTTCCTGATGTCTTGAAACCATATCTTGAAACAGTACTGCAATTTGCCCCCAGACTAATCAATCTATGCTGCATGTTTATTGTGTAAAATGGCTCTGGAGTCATTGAGTCAGGATAGCATTTGCTTGTCGATGCTTCCTGCCATTTTTCCAACCTGCGTTGGTTTGCTTTTTGTGAAGCTTTCATGGGGTCGGTTTTTGAAATCATTTTACAAATCAGTATTCATGAGAAAGAAAACAAGATAAGGCTACTAGATACAATGTACTGAGTATGCAGTAGCTAATAGCATTTAAGTTATCAGCTGTAGTCTTGAACATTTACGGGGCTGGACATTGCCTGGCGAATTGGATATTGCCTTGTCGGTTTGTTACGATTTTGCATCTGCTTGGAGATTACACATTGCATTGTTTTTTTTTTTTTATCACAATATTTAATTGGTCTCCATCATAAACGATCTTCAGTAGACCCTACGTGGGCGGAATTATGTGCAAGCAGACCAAGCTGTTTGTATGAATTTATGCAAACGCAATCTACACATTCGTGATATCAGTGATATCGATGACATATACCTTTGCTTGATGTTGGTATTGTTAGGGAGTTGACGGTTTTTTGTTTCTCCAGTGTTGGCGCTGTTGTTTTGTTGCCAATGGGGATATAGGAGATAGCTTAACGGGATGACTGACATACTAATTATGCAAAAATGATTTAATTTACATAATTGACGATGAAATTTTAAAACTATGATGCAAACATGTTATCGAAAAAAAGAGAGAAACATAAAAAAAAGAAGAACTGAGATAATCAATGTAAATTAGTTCCTTATTTGCATAAGTAGCTAGAAACTATCACAACACTGTTATACACAGTGTCTGTTGAAAAGGTCAACATCATATGGCGAGGATATGAGATCGTGGGACTCTAGTTAACGTATCTTTTAGAAATGTCGGAATCCGAAAACATCGCCGAAGACCTCGCTTCCAAAGGTGCACCGATGGGGACTCCAAACGACTCTTCGGCCCTCGTCGAGTGTTCTTCCGGAGATCGCCCGAATGCCAATCATACAAAAGTAGGGAGTGTACCAAAAGCCCGAGACACAAACCCTGTATACACACAACGCACCGAAAATGCTGATCGTGAGGAAAACAACATGAACCCGAGTCCAATGTACGCCGTGAACGCCAGCCCGAAACAAGAACCATCCATTATATACACCCACGAACATGCCTGTTCTTCTGGGCATCTCCCAAATGCAAGGGGTGTATCAAAATCTCAAGACCCAAACCCTGTGTACACACAAAGCACCGTGAATGTTGATCACACACACCAGGGAAAAACCCGGAATCCATGTCCAATGTACACCCAAAACGCCGTGAACCCCAACACGACCTGCCCTACTGTGGAACATGTGGAAGAGGATAGCAGTGGCAGCCATTATTATGCCAATAATGATGATACTCTAGACTATGTGGAAGAGGACAACAGAACTGGGGACCATTATTATGTTGATGATGATAACATCTCTCCTGTAGAACATATGGAAGAGGACAACAGTACTGGGGAACATTATTATGTTGATGATGATAACATCTCTCCTGTAGAACATATGGAAGAGGACAACAGAACTGGGGACCATTATTATGTTGATGATGATAACATCTCTCCTGTAGAACATATGGAAGAGGACAACAGAACTGGGGACCATTATTATGTTGATGATGATAACATCTCTCCTGTAGAACATATGGAAGAGGACAACAGTACTGGGGAACATTATTATGTTGATGATGAGGACAAGCCTGTGGAAAGTGATGAGAACGGACAAACAGTCGATACGGCCTGCGACGATGTCGATATGGAACCATATGCAGTTGCACATATGTGCGCAGATAAAGAAGCATCTGCTACAAGTTCGGAGGCGACACGAACAAACGAACGCTCTCATGACACTAACACGGCCACAAACATCAGGCAAAACGTGTCGTCCAACTTGGCAGGCACCACTGATGAAACTAACCCGTCAGACACTGTTGGAGATAACAGTACTCTACATAATCTTGGACGTCCCTCAAATGCCCATCATCCAAATCCTGTGTGTGGGCAAAATTCCCTCAACCCTAATCCGATGTACGTGCCAAATGTTTGCAGACAAACAGGTAATATGTCTACTTTTAATTAATTTATTCACTTTTTAGTCCTCTGTATAACCTTACTAGCTAGTAGTTTTGATATGAGGTTTCAATTTATCACAAAATATTATTTTATTTCCTTTAATGAATTAGAATATAAAAATATATGGTTCTTTCTGAAGCAAAGATGTTGCTATGCTGTGTGATAATCAGGACACAGATGTCGCCGGGTGTGTGTCGCTGTTGCAGCAGCTATCCTCCTAGTGCTGATCACCGGTGGAGTCGGTAAAGCTTTCTTTGGTATGGACAGCAAGGATACTCAAAACGTAAGCTGAACTTAAGCCTATATTTCTTTTTCATTACCAGCTGTAATTTGTTATAAAAAGCTTATTGCACCTACAAGCATTTCCAGGAATATGTGTATTATTCACCACCGTGTGATATGATATTCTAATTTAAAAGTGGATCAGACAGTTTATGTGATATCTTCCTATATACAGCCCACGCTTTCTGTGGATACGATCCAGATCACTCGTCAGCCTGTCTGCTGCAGTTCGGGAATAACGCGTACGACAATGGCCGACCGCCACCACATGTCTACGGTAAGCTTAAGCATACTTGAAGGACTATGTAGGCCTTCAAATGGCTTTCCTTGGTACTGAAAAAGAAGTTGTATCTTGTTTTCTGAACATACTTTGGTTTTGATTTTGGGGTAACAGAGAGCTTTGAAAGAATTCTTGTATTATCCACGAATGAGTTATCTTCTTATCTACAGCTGACACCTTCAGTGGATACGATCCACACCACTGGACAACCTGTCTCCTACAGTTTGGGAAGGACGCGCCCGACAAAGGCTGACCCCCTAAACATGTCTTCGGTAAGTGTATTGGAAAGGCTATCACCTTGCGCGTGCGTGTGTATGTGAAAAGCTGAGGATGTATAGGGACTTTCAAAACTATAGACATGTATATTAGGCCCCCGGCCTTCGTTTACACTTAGCAGAACTTGTACCTTCTGTTCTACAGCCGACACCATTTGCGGCTACGACCCTCACCACTGGTCAACCTGCCTGCTGCAGTACCGAGACGACTCGCATGGCTGATTCCTTGTACATGTCTACGGTAAGCATGTGAGAAGGGTTTTCTTGTAACTAATCACGAGCCTGACTTCCTGTATCTGATCTTTTGTGGTCTGTGCTTAGGGTATACACACAAGCAAACATACATACACTCATATGTGCACGCACACACACACAAACAATAACAACCATTTGTACATGGAGGTAAAGATAATCATCATATCGCTTGCCAGGACTATGTCCACTCTTTTTTCAAGACAAAAATTGTTTTTTTTTCTTTTTAATTACAGACCAGGACTACAGTTTCACCAGCTTCCAGAAGTTCACCAGGTAAATAGTTTAGCATTTAAGTGAATAGGGGCATGGAATATGAGTTTCCACAATAGTCAATGGAATTTCCCCTTTTTTCTAAAATACCCTAATGGAATCATGCAATTCATAAAGATCCTTGAAATGATATAACTCCACTGTTTACTGGTCTATATATTACGTTGACCATTACCTATAACATTACAGAAAGCTTGGATGCAGACGCGAAGTCGAAGAAGATCGCTTTTGGTGGGCAGGGATCAGGCCCAGGAAAATTTCATTTCAATACTGGTGTGGCCGTATCTGCAAACAATGAGATATTCGTGACAGATCTGCACAACAAACGAGTCCAAATTTTTACTATAGACGGAGCTTTTCTCCGCAACTTTTCAACGATAGTGCCTGGCGAAGAGGGAACTATGATGTGCCCTTACGACATTGCAATTGATGGAAAAGCAAACTTGTGGGTGGTGGGGAATGTTGTCGATCTCGGACCATTACGTATACGTCCATATGTGGTGAAGTATAGTCAGGACGGCCTGCCAGTTACCAAGTTCGACATACCAGCCACTTCAATTCAAGGTCCCAAGAGGCCCACTATTACAGTGGACACACGCTGGGACAAAATCATTGTGGTATACAAAGATACAGTATTCACGTATGTACCAGATAAAGGCTACTTCCACCAGAACTTTACAAAGAGACAACCTCTTGGATATTTAGTATCGTACGTCACATTGGACCTGGCAGGAAATATCCTTCTTACTCATGATCGTCCCTGGGATTACGGCTCTGTCCATGTGTACAGTCGCAATGGGCAGATGTTATTTGAATTTTCAACCAAAGGTGGTCCCCGAGGTATTTGTGTGGACCCCACTACCGGTAACATATTAGTGGCGAACTGGAAAAAGGACCGTGTAGTCATGTTTACGAGTAGTGGGAAATTTGTGCGCACTGTCGTCAAGGCCTCACGGCCGGATGGTATTGCTCTGGGACCAGATGGACATTTAGTGGTGAATACAGCCAAGGTCCCTGGTATAGGTGACCACACTGTCATTGTTTTTCCACGCCATATGGTATTTGGGTATTGACCTTTCAAATTTTCATCACCATAATTTACACATTCAGAATATGGCAGTCCTCATTATTCTTCGTAGACCTTGTAGAAGACGTAAGTACAGAAAAAAATGTTTTAATATAATCGTGTTCATCATCATCATTATACCTTCATTGCTGATTGGTGCTGGGATAATATTTCATAGTGTTTTCTTCTGTCCACCAGAATTGTTAAGTAGTTGTTCCATGTAGTTGACCATAATAGAATGATAGTTGATACATAAAATCAACAAGATGATAGTCTGCCAGTATAAAGGAAATGACTGTTTGTTGGTAATGTGAAGCTGGTGTGAAACATTTCAAACTAAATGTAGCTTGTTGGAAATGGTGTGCTTGGTTACATGAATGAGAACTACAAAGTTATGTCATTCCTACAATGTCTTACAAAACAGTCCTTTCTATAGACTTTATACTTATAAACTTTATAATTACTTTACCCAGCAGTTCGAAATGTAGGACCTCTAAATGAGGAAAATGCTAACTAGTAAGGTAATATATGCAAAGCAAATACATAATGTTCACCCACCTTCACTGGTCTAGAAGAAACAAACTACAACTGATCTGTTTGTTCTAACTAAAACACATTCATATGTATAGTCTATGTCCTTACCTCTGTCCTTTAACTTGCTACATAATGTAATACAACACTGCAGGGTGTATGCTACAGCACCAATTACCATGGTGACAGATTGTAGATTGTTGAGATTTGGTGAACACTCAAACTGTCACAGAGTGAAATTGGAAGGATCCACAAGACAGGACTGATGACAAGTCTCCACCGTGGCAGGCCCATCTGCAATGTGATACAGGAAATAATTAGTTCACCAGTACATCAACTAATTCATTAATTCAACAGACATCTTTCATGCCTTTTGTTTGAATCTGCAATAGAAAATGATTTTTTTTGGTAATAAAATGGCTGCAATGCACTTGCTACTAAGTTATTTCTTTCTTCCAATAATTGTACTTTATGACAATAATTCAAACATACTCAAAGGAAAGAAGTCGTCCCCATGACCGCAGTCGTCCCGTGCACTCTGGATAGCCTGTCTCAGAGCAAACATGGCAGAGCAGGACATCAGCAGTGGGGGCTCTGACACAGCTGGAGGGGAAGAAATTATTGTACAATACAAAGCACAAAATTCTAGATTCATCACACGATAGCAATGCAGTATTCCACTTTTTAAGTTCATCCCACAAAGCCCTTATATTGTGTTGGATGTAACAATCAAGACAGTCCAGGACATATTTCTTGAAGAGCACAGATCTTTCCTCACCTTTAGACCTGATCACGCTGAACTGGTTGGATGAGTTTGGCAGCAGGGTAACTCGCAGATCCGCTGGAATATCTTTGCTTGTAGGAGGCTTGTATTCCTTCATCATAATTCAAATAAATTACATGATTACTTTGTCTTAAGACAATAACACTGGAGACAGGCAGCAAGTTTTCAGTTGACATGAAATTTACACTAATACTTTTTTGGCAAATGTGTCTTTTGAACAAGACTTAAAGGTCTTTGGCCCATGTGTCTGAGCCTCAGGGCTCAAACCTCTTTTACAAATGCAAAAGAACCTGATGCACCTATCAAGAATATTAAGGATTGGCCTACCATCACGATGAACGAAATAGGATGTAACAATAATTCGATAGTGCATTTAGTAACTAGAACTATTGGCTCTTACCCATGTTCCGTTGGTCAGCAGCCTTCCCGTCTCCTTGTCGTACACGCACTTCTCAGTCAGCCAGTAGCCCAGCCCGAACACGAACGCTCCCTCAACTTGGCCTACATCCAGGTCAGGGTTCATACTGCGAAAGCCAACAGGTGTTAGGTGGTGTTATACAACATTACACTTAAATCTCTGTTTGCTTACCAGATGAGAAAAGACTTTGAGCATACCTCTCCCCACAGTCAAACAGAATGTCCGACCGTGTGATTTCTCGCTCCCCTGTCAGGACATCCAGCTCCACCTCTGTGCAGGTCACACCGAAAATGTTGTACGCTGGACGAGGTACCGGCAATGGATCATGCTCCCTGTAGGAAAATTCCTTTTTAATATATTAACATGATAATTTTTCAAAACAACACACTTGTCTCAGACCAACTTTTGACCAGTCATACATCAAAAATATTCTGCAAATCGCTTCTTCTTAACTTCAAGAAAAAGGCAAAGGAACACTCAATATGCATTTGATATGGAATTATGCCTGCCATTACTTTGTATGTTATGGAATATCAAAAGTTACAAAAACAATACATTGAACCAATGGTTGCATCACTATGAGCTACTAATCAAAGCCTTTCATGATCCCCAGGTACACTTGTACTTTTGACCTAAAAAATAGTAACAACAGGTCCACCCACATGTATTTCTCGGACAGGTCCACCCCCTTACTGTGACACGTGTTGATGAGTTCTGTCCATTTTGGAGCCCCGCCCATCTCCTGTCGGATGGGGTTGATCCGTTCATTCAGCCTCCTGCAGCATTCAAGCACTCCCTGGACAAATGGAGAAAAAAGTAAACACTCTGAGATAAAGACTATCCAATTCAGTATTATTGAAATCCTATAAACAATCTGGGATCAGGCTAAGCTTGCAGATAGGAGGAGAGCAATTTAGGCTAGGATTGGGCCAGATGATTTACATGTTCTTAATACATTGTACATGGTAATTAACACAGTCATCAAGTGTTGTCAAGTAAACCACGATTAGAAAGTTTAAAGCATCAGCTGGGTTGTCATTGTTGGCTAATATCATTGACGTAATCTATTAGAGATGTGACAGTACCTGGCAGTTCAGTTCACTGGTGACACTGCCTCCTGAGTCACTACTATTGGGACTGGAGAGAGAGTTGGTGGACATCACATGGATCATCTCCATGGGAACGCCCAGGGTGGCAGCTGCCACCTGCATCACCTGGAGTTGGAAAACAAGTCATCCTTTCTTACCAGCCTGAAATCACTGTCTCCTAAAACAAGCTCCTCTCCTATTATACATCATAAACACCATGATCCTGCTGAAGGCCTGTTTGGGATTTCCAAACGGGTAGTTCTGACCATGACCTGTTTGGGAAATCCCAGGATTTGAGGCCCACTAGTATCTGGGATAAAGCCATGTTTGGGATACACAGACACCAACAACTCCTGGCAAGTGAGAATTATACAGTTTATGGTCATTTGTACTTGTATGAAGCTGCGTAACATCAAAAACAAAGGAATCACAATAACTGAAGACAGCTACTGACAATCACTTTGTTAGTAGCTGTATGAAGCTGCGTAACATCAAAAACAAAGGAATCACAATAACTGAAGACAGCTACTGACAATCACTTTAACTGAAGCATTTAACCATTATGATTGTGGATCATGTAACACTGAAAAGCCTATCCAGAATTAGATTGATTTTCTTTTAAAGTCTAATACCTTTGTATCGATCCCCTGTCCCATCTCAATACCACCATGTGTGATGACCACAGAACCATCGGTGTGGTAGATCGCCACGAAAACCGTGAAACGGAAGAAGCAGGAGAAGGCGACATATCGACATGGAACCACAGACAAGCCTCTCTTCTTCCAACGATGTTCCTATCAATAAGTTAATATTCATAATGAGTCATAATTGCCCTGATGAAGATGGCAGATGGTAAACAATACATACTATTAGGCTCTTGTAAAATAAGTTGTTGTGAATAAAGAACTTCGGTATGTAATTACTGATACTGCAAACAACAAATAAACCAGAAATACTTGTCGTAGTAATCCACACACAAATGTAATTTCAAACTTCTACCTTGTTGAAAATCTCTATCTCCTGCTGTCGTTGTTTGACTTGTGCCGATGTCAACAGATCTACAGAATGTCAGTCGAATATCGTTTCAACTTGTTAATGCCGGTTTATTACAGCTTTATCATCAGTATTGGAAAACAACAGAAGACAATTCCATGATTATGCTAAGCTCTGGTGAGAATAATATTGGATAATTATGATATTTGCCACAATATTGGATATGATATTCGCCAGTTTACTACAAACATACTACCGGTACTATCTTTTAAGAAAATATATCTAATGCTATAATATCGACTTAAGGCTGTACTAGATTCACAAAGAAGAAGTCATAACAGTATAGGTACCCTCCCACTGCTGAGTGATGTTGCAGTCAGACAGTGTGAGTCCAGCCAGAGTGGTCTGTCCGTTTTCAAACATGTTGATCCGGCGGATGTCGGTAGGGTCCTTGTTCAAGGTCTTGGCCACATGTTCAATGATGTGCTCCATGAAGAAGTGAACTGCCACAAAACCTGGAAACAACCGACAAAACGAGTGATACATAAATCAAAAGTAAGAATACTGTAATTCACTTTATGTTCACTGTAGCAAAATGTCACGATCTGAGAAAAATGGGGATGTTCACTGTACTATACATTCACGGTGGTGACAGGTGCAGGAAAAAGAAGGTTCAGGAATTACCTGTTGACTGTAATGATAAGTTCACGGTTCAGAAGTGACAGTGAAAACAGTGAACATAAAAGTACAGTGAACAAATCAGGAATTACAGTACTATGCAATATATGCAAATGAATAGATTCTTAATAATTACAAAATGGACACACATTGTGCTTAGTCTAATAACGATCTACAAGTAATAATGTTATAATGACTCCTAATAATGTTAGTCCATCCTCTGAGAGATATTTACACAAATCTATATCTTTTACTTTTGAACAGCATAGTAGTTACTGTATAGACGATATACTATGTATTTGGAATAGATAATACAATTACCTGGAGCTCTTGTGAAGGTTGTTGGAGCAGTGTTGGTTTTACAGGTTTGTCCTGTGTACTGCCAGCATGGACAGTAATACACTGAAACAGTCAAAAGATACATCTGATTCAATTTCTTTTCATGTCTTATCACAGTATCACACACATAAAATTTCTACTAGACAAGCCTGATAAAAATCAAGTACAATGTACGAATCAAGTACAATGTCATCATCAGCAAGTACAATGTAGCTGCCCATGATATGCATGTTATGACTAATGTCTTCTAACTGATTCAGGAGCTTTGAAGATTGGGTCAAAAACAATGGTTTGTAGTGAGTGAAAGGTTGATTTGAGCCAAAACAATCTGCAACAGTCACTACAAGAAATTAATAGAAATACCATAATACACATACAAATGCTGAAGGTATGACATCTTTGACCTCTAGTAACTATCAATCAATTCCGGTACGACCTTCGTATAGGTTCTCACCATTATCAGCAGCAACTGACACACCACTGACAAGACAGATCTGAACGGAACATCCGTTATCTTCGTACAGATTGTACACCACTGCCAGCAGTCTTCCCTCATCGTCAAAACCAACCTATGAGTAGAAATCGTCGATAAAGGTTAGACATCCAGGTAATACGATATGCCAAAAAGCAGTTACTCAAGCAACTGGATATAATTTTGAAAACGTCATCATCAACTTTGACATATGACTTTGACGTTTTCAAAATCATATCCAGTTGCTTGAGTAACTGCTTTTTGGCGTATGAGTAGAAATCGTCTGAGATGATATGACTTAGCAGAAAGACTTTATCAATGCATACTATATTTTGCAACAATTTAAGAAATGACGAATGATGAGTGACGCAAATTGCTTTAAAATAAATTGATTATGACAATTCATTATTCTTGCACAATATTACATAATTGTTGGCAGGTATGTCATTGTAACATACCTCGTATTTAATAAGATAGGGCGCTCTCTTTGATATGGCTTCCATATTTGCATCAAGAGGCATGCTCAAGCGTACGGTCCTGAAAAAAAAGGATGGTGTGATTCAATGTTCTGTACATCAATGCTGTCAATAAAGAAAAATCAAAGGAACCTAGGCAGACAAAAATCAAAAACCGAATATCTATAAACCTTCACAAAGCCACATTGTTTTGTGACTAACAGATTGTCCATTGCCTAACAGATGTACCTGTTGAGATTTTGAGCAGCCACAGCACATGCAGCAGCCGGCAGCATGGAACCGAGTCCCTTCCCTCCAAAGCCTCCACCCAGTCTCTTGACAGATACGTACACTCTGTACAAATGTACAAGGATAACTTCAGTTATTCATGTTCTCAGTCGTTAAAGGTGTGAATTGTCAACTGAAGATGATTTCAGTTATGTTGAAGGCATACTAAGTTACTGTCACAGTAACTTTTCACTTCTGTCGACTTTTACTCGTAAAAATTGAAAAGATAATGGTTGGATTTTTTTATAAGGGTGCATACATTTGTAGCATTGGCCCAAGGAAGTACTACTTTTCGAGCAAGATATAATACTTTGTGAGCTATCGTCTTGTAGTCTAACCTATGGGCTGCAATTCCAGTGGCCTGTGCAATAACTGCCTGGATTTTATCCATAGACTGGGTAGCAGACTGGACGTCCATGCCGTCCTCCGTTGAGTGTGCAGCGGCACACGTTGGGTCTCCATGTGGAAATGGTACTGAGAACCACACAATGCCTCACCCGAGATACGATGGGGAGCTGCAGCTAAGGCACCTGGAGATGCAGAGCATTTCACATCAGAGATTCATAAGTCCACAGGCATCATTAAAAACAATCTGTTGAGAACCTTAATGAGCTTTCAGAACAATTTTAATGTACAACTTTTCCCCTGCCCCTGAGCGATGATGTCATATTGTCTTTTCCCTTCCTTTGTGTGAGTCATATATATCCAAGCAACTTTATCTAAGTTCTGTTAATCACATAACTCATCATAATTTTCTCATACAAATGGAGGGTTCTCAGGAAAATACCTTTTGGATCTCCCTTCACCACTTCTTTGACGATTGGGTGAAAGGATTGTTCAGCGATGGCATCTTGGATGGTGAGTATGGGTGGTTTCAGGTCGGTGTAAGTAACCTGGACAGCATTGGCCATGGCATAAGCACGAGCCTGGGTATCTGAAATACACACAGGTATCCATTTTACACCTGGCTGGAGCAAGGAAAATCATGTGTCTTCCAAAAGACTGCCAGGGATATAAACCAGTGACTTCTTGATCTCATGTACGCTGATGAAAAAATATAACCTTTACCTGCAATGACAAGAGCCACTGGCTGACCTGCATACAGCAACTCATCACTGGAGAAAATCTGCAAAGAGAAGCTTTTTGAATGTTTGCTGTTCTTTGTATGAGCTTTGAATGTTGTTATAATGGTACTTCATTGAATCTTTGAGGTTAGCATTGGTTCTCATTTGGTTCTCAGCACCTTCGTTTTTTTCTTCTAGGCACTTTCGAAGCCTTAGGTCTTATTTGATGATGTCCCAAAAACATAAGTTAGAGCTGAGTTACCTCAGCTGCAGGCTGTGGTGACAGACTATAACGGTTTTCTCCTTTAATGTCTCCAGCTGTAACATATGCAACTGCTCCTGGCATTTCCTGTGGAAGTAAGTAAAAAAACAATTATCATTTAGACATCCAAAGTGCTATACTTCGGAAATCTTATATACAGTGACAACACATCCTAAGGGAATTTTTGTTACATTTTGCCTGCCTTACACTAATATATGTAATATAATGCTATGATTCGATTGCCAAATAAGCTCACGATGCTCGTGATGCAAAGCAATTTCATAGGCCTATGGCTTGGCTGCAGTAAGTTGTAAGGAAAGTATTTTTTTTCTACCATGGCTTGTGAAAAGTCCAAGTTGCCCAGTTTACAGTTGGCCACAGATGATGTCACAAGTGCAGCGTAGACTTCCCCTGGCATAGCAGGCATGTCATTGATATAGATGGCTTCTCCAGACGCCTGTAATGCAGGTTTACATGTTTATCCAATTTCAATGTATCAGTTTCTTCCCAACAGTGTTTGTAATGCCTGGCCCAGTGCTGGTTTACAATTTGAACCATTTGAAGTCACTTCAGCACCATGGAAAGGGTTCATGGTTTTGTGTCAATGCCCCCTCCCAACTTAGATTGATCTACACAACTGTTGTATAGCATACAGGTATATCAACTCTTTCTTCATTCATCCAGGTGTGTTGGGATGTTTTTCAAACAAACAAAGAAACAAACAAACAAACAAACAAACTGACATGATGTGACAATGTCTTTCGTCATGTCCGTGTCATATGTGGTGGTAGGAATTTTACATGCCACTACCTCACAAATACACCTGTGATGGTGTATTAGAGTTATTAGCGCAGCCCACCTGTACTCTAGCAGATGTTTTAGGCATGGGTTGCCTGAGGGGCCACTCAGACTCCCTGTTCTGGAAATGCTGCTCCGCACGGGAGACCGGACGTACCAGCGAGTCTGCCGCTGAACGAACCTTCTCAGTCAGGCTCTCCATCCCAACTGCAGACAGGTAAAACTACAGAAAAGTTATTTTATTAATTGGTCACATAACAGATGCTACAATCCATCTAAAACAATTTTTTGGAACTGGTGAAATGACTTATGCTGTAACGTTATATCATTCATTATTTTTGCCACGTTTCTTTCAGACTATGAATATAGAACATGCCTTATAGAACAATCCCATGGCCAGCTGTTTGGTGTACTGTGGAGTCTGGAAAGCAGAATCATCTGGCACCAGTTCTGCTTCCAGTACAGCGAGGGCTCCTGGTGTAGGAAACAGCCAAAAGTTTAATAATTGTTGCTTTAGTTAGTCAAAACCATCAAAATTTCTATTCACAATGCTCTTTGATTAAAATGCTAATTTTCTAGATGGTCAGAAAAGTTAATTTTGATAAAGATTCAGTACATGTAACTTATACATAGTTCATTTTAATGATCTACCTCTTAGAGTGTCAGCATCTGTGATCTTCTTTCCAACCAGGAAGTCTTCAGTTTCAGATGCATGTACCTGGAAGGATGTTAAGAATATCTTCATCCAACTATTAAAAAATACCCAGGTCATGCTTAAATTGTTATAACAGTATGAAATAGAAATGTTACACCATATGTTATAAAGACGCAATAATCATGTAAAGATGATACCATAGTCTTGTTCACGCCGCCAAACACAATGCTTGGTTTTGTGACCACTGTTGCATCACTCTGACGGTCCAGTGCCATCTTAAAGCCAGCATTCACATATGCATGGGCATTCTGTAAGGGAAACAGTTCTTGATATAGCACATTTTGTCTGTACATTTATTTTGTCTGTAGCATTGCATCTGTGCAATAGCATCTACTAAACACAATAAGCCAATCTTAGGGATGTTTCTATCTATACATAACATTTTACACAAAGTCCCCAAATACTTATTGTACACTTATTTGATTGAAGTAGAGCAAACCTGTGACCGAGAAGCAACTTTGTAAGTCCGGAATACGTCTTCAGGCTTTCCTGGTGGAATCTCCAGTGAACGAATCACCTGGAATACAAATGGAGGAACTGAAATATTTACTGACAGCAGCATACAACAGCAAGGTTCAAATACCATAATTCCTAATATTTTCAACTGTTAGAAAAGAATTTTGGCTTACCTTGCCATTCATTGTAGTACCCAAAAACTCACTGAGTGCCATTGTCTGTGATTCATCTCTGTGTCCTAAATTTTTTATAGGAAGAAATACAAGTGGAATGTGTAAGTATGAAAATGGTAAGGGTTTAAGACATGATTTCATTTATTCTTTAAGTGTTTAAAATAACAAAATTTGACAAGACTACTGTGAAACTTCTCTGACCTATAGTGACCTTGGCTCCTGCAGCCTCCATGATTGTGAAGACATCAGAAGGGAATTCTGGGTGGGAGTGTTTTATCATCAAATTCCCAGCCCAACTGCCAACCTGAAATTCAAAAGCAAAAGTCTCACTTTCTGAGTGACTTATTGAGTATCATGTGTTGTTAATTCCAAACTCCGCAACTAAGCATTCTCACATCCAAGTCTACTCACGTTTCTGACAGATACATTAGCAACCTTGCGAAGATGGTTGGCCAGTACATTGTAGAATGGAGACTGGTCTGAACCGGCTTGTAGAAAGTCAACCATGGTAGACAGGCTCACAGCAGATCCAACCACCAATGGTGGCCCAGGCTGAAACATTGCAGGCTGTTTTAATCCACAGAAATTCTATATACAACTTAATATACAAGTATGGCATGAACCCTCACATAAAATCACAAGATTAACATTGAAAAGTTGAAATGGATAGTGTTGAGAGTGTTGGGACTGGTACCATAGCTATTTCTACTTATACTTTAGTCAGTATTTTGTATTAACCTGAATTCAACAGTACTGTTTTAATAACAGTTGTTTCAAACATTCTTACCTGACAGTTGTACAGATCAGACACAGCTTTGATGTCGATGAGGCAGGTGTGAGGACCATCATTCTTGTACACACCTGGAAGATTGTGTGACATGCTTTTTACATTAGAATCTTTATATTTTTCATCTGTTTAAATCTTTTCAAGTACCGATTTGAATTAAGTCATCTTCTTTGCAAGACTAGTCCAGACTTGTTGGTGATTGATGTTTGAGAAAATATAATTTGTAAACCAAGCAGTCAGAGGCATTGGGGATATGGTCTCTGTCCTTGGTACTGAAGAACAAAAGCTACCTTGGCATTACAGAGGTATATTTTTGCATTACCCAGTTCAGGGTTGATATGGTGGCTGACATTGCTTACCTGCAGCTGTGTTTCCACAGACCAGTTTGTACCGGTCCTGACTGTGCTGTTCCAACAGACCGTACAACTCCCCCAGGGAGGAGGGACGGTACCAGGAAATGCCATTTTGGCGACACCTCAGGGGGCCTGCACTTGTACCGTTCACACCATTGGCAGAGGCACCATTACACGTTCCTCCAGCATTGGGGCAGGGATGCTTGTCTAGATCCTGTGACCAGAAATGTAACAATTACATGTTGGATTCACCACTTACTCTAATATTGATTCAATTCACTTCATAAAAATCTGGCATATCATAATACTAAAAATTTGTGAAAAACGAATGTAATATCTCAATGAAAATAGTAACTTACATGTAAATGCTTAATGTAAGACAGAACTTTGCATAGGTTTGCAATAATCAAAATCTATCCAGTTGCTTGAATAACTGTCTTGTGTATCTCATCACCTGGAAGTCTAATCTTCATCAATGTACTGATTATAGAATTTCCAAGAGTACCTCAATGTCGATACAGCCACCTTTTTCTGGATCTGCATCGGCTGCAAAAGACTTCATGGCATCTAGGATAGGTCTGTAACCTAGGAATAAAGTACACATCTCTTCCATGAGTAAGAAATGCTTTGAATTCATGGATACTTGAGTCACACCATTGTGACTACTGACTACACTGTTCTCACAAAATACAACTACATTGTATAACCACTTCCTATTCATAGCCAAAGAGGACATTTGCTTGTTCCACAAACCGAGCTGTCTACGGATTTGGGAATAAGGTCCCTGTCCTTGGTACTGAAGAGCAAAAGCCACCTAGACATTACAGTGGTTTGTGGTCAAAATATGTCACAACACAAAATATTCAAACAAGCAAGAAGAAGATTAGTCCATTATGTATATTCTTTCTCTAACCTGTACACCTGCAGATGTGTCCATCAAAGTGATTTTCCACCTCTTGTTGACTGGGTTGTGGCTTTTTATTCAGCAACCTGTGAAATAGGGCCAGGCATACTTTTTTGTTCTCTTTTATTACTTAATATACACAAAGGAGGAAAACTCCATGATGATAAGATCTTATTTTAATATCGTACAATAAATCTGATAAATATCAGTTAACATTACTTACCCATACATGTTGAGCACCATCCCAGGGCTACAGTACCCACACTGACTGCCGTTGAAGTCTGCAAGGCGACGCTGGATGGGGTGAAACCCGGCCTTCTGTCCCCCCAGCCCCTCCACTGTGGTGATGCTCCAGCCATCCACACTGCACAGGGGGCACAGGCACTAGGCACATAAAGAGATTGTCGAACATTAGAACAATATGTTTCTGTGAATTATTTTAATATTAAATATCACATTCTGCAAAGCAAATGGATAATTTTTACCTTCACATGGTCATATGCCTAATAATATAACAACTTTGTCCTGCCATTGTTACATAATGTAACCCAACAACACAGGGTGTCTGCTACAGCTGTCTGGTCCAGGTCATTGACCTTACATACTCTTGATGGTATTACAATTTTTTGAACAGGATAGGCTAGACCAACAAGCCAAAAGATCAGTGATGCCAAGGACATATAATGTCCTTGATGATACCTACCGAGTTTAATGTGTAAGAACATGCTCCTCCATTGGTCGGATCCGGGTGTGTCACCATGACAACACAGCAGCCACACCCTCCTTCCCTGCACATGACCTTAGTCCCGGTCAGGCCCCGCTGGGAGCGCAGCCACTCATTCAATGTCACACCGGGATCCGGATTTAGAACTGCAGCAAGGGTGTTACAGTCGTGAGCTGACTCATCAATGAACGAAATCCTTTTTCAGACCAGCTTTTAATTATTTTGCATGGTGATGTAGGAATTATTTGGGCTAGAAAAATGCCAATTCGTCCTTCGTGACCACCACAAATAATTAGACAAACTGAGTAGACTACCAGTACATACCAACATGACGCTTCCCGTTGACCCAGAAGGTCAGTTTGTCCTTGAAGTCCTCGTCCGGTAGGATTGGCATGGTTTCGTCCGTATGTCAACTTATCTGGGGAGAAATAAACGTTGTTTGATACAAGGTAACATTATGTGGAAACTTCGGAAGCGTGGTGAACTTATGTAACGTTACCGCAAAACGGGTGTGCGGCGGAGTTTACGACAGTTACTCTACAACGAGCAAAAACCTTGGGACCATTGAGAGGATGATCCTGCCAAAAGCCATTCCAAAAACAGAAGTAGTAGGACAGCAAAACGCAGGAAATGCTGAGTTGTTCCGCAGACATAGGACCTGTAGATGACCTTGATAGTTTAGATAGACTTTGTGGACTACATCATGCAGTTTGCTCCTCATCAGATAAAGAGAAAACAGACGATACAAATGAAGTTCATGAAAATGCAACAAGAAACCTCTTTTCCCGACATGCCTTTCTCAACCCGATGGGGGTTTCGGCCTATTCGATAAAATAGTAACTCAAGACAAAAGAAACTCTCTTCCGAACCCTTCAGACGAAAAACAAAACTCTCCATTCTCTGACGATTTTGAAATCTAGTGACCCCTTCTTTTCATGTGATTATTGCGGTCGAAGCCGCGATGGCACCTGCTCGACTCGACTTCACGCTTCGAAACCTTTAATCCTAACTTGTCGGCGACATGCTGTTCACATGTATTATGTATGCATGCGCGATAGTGTGTTGCCCAGCAAACCAACACGTAAAACCTTCCTTTGTCGGTGCTGGACGTTATAAAAAGTAGCAGGGCTTTAGGGCCCATAAAAGAAGAGAACGGACTAGCCATTCTAGTAGATTGTTTGCGCAGTGACAACGTTTGCACTTCTGGTTCTCCCACAGTAAAGAGACTCTGACTGCAAACATGAACTCTTTGCGACCTTCTACCACTTGGTAGGAATCTAATGAGTTAACGCCCACTTCCTTCCAAAGCTGCACTTCTCGTGCTTATTAACTCCGTCGCTTTCCAGACCTTTTTTAGTCTTTTTTACTGTTACTTAAGCATTAGTCTTAATATGTTTAATGATTCTTCCGAAGTCTAATTATTAACACATGTTACACTGACACCAAAACGTGAGCTCGAGATCACTTAAGTTTAGTTGGCCCCTTCGAAGGGGCCGAGCATATACTAGTTCGAATTCCTTCTAATTCTAGCACCCAAGAAACTTTAGCTTGAAGACTACGGCTAAAGTTGACCACTGACTTACGTGGAAGATAGAACCCTCACCTCACATCACATGAGGTAACTGGTTACAAACGGGGAAAATCTGAGCTACCTACCACTATCTTGTCGACGCCATCATATGATACCTACCGAGGCAGTTTGATGAGAACCTTCAACTACTTGAATCCGCGTGCTGGTAGCTTCTGCCAATTCTCGGTGCCGCAGATCAGTATTAAATCCAACTCTGGTAATACGAATAATAAGCAAAATGGCCAATCTCCCCTTGGGCAGAGAGGGATAGGCGTTGGACAGGTGTGCCAGTTTGCTCAATCCCGCCCCTCAGCTGTACAATGGGGGCCTGCATGGGGGCGTTCCCGTAGCTCTAGGCAAAATTCAGAACCTGTCTACGTGAAAGTCTGGAGTTTATGGAAAAAACACCAGTACCTGGTGTTTATAACTTTTGCATCAAAGCTTCTCAATTCTTGAGATCTAGAATCAAAAAAATAAGGAAGACGTCTAGACTGATAGGGTGTCACATAGTTACTTCTGCATGGAATGATGTCTAACCTGTTAGATCACTTAGGGTGAGGCACAACTGAACTACGAACTTCCACATCTGACATACGCCGGAGGCCACATATCTTATCAGACAGAACATGCAATGGACAGTATTACATGTATTGATAATCTGGTCACGTCCATTTCTTAACCCCACCTTGACACGTATACGCATCGGATCCAACCAAATAAACTACTTTCTGAACAAAATTCTAGTAGCTTTCGAGTGTAACGCGTTGCACATGGAGTTGAAACGAGCTCGAGGTGAAGCATTCAATGAGAGAAAATCTCTGTCACTATGCGTAGAAAACTGCTCATATAGATATTGCATTGCTGGTCCGCCAGCCCTAACTTGTCTCTTCACTTCATTAACTCTTGAAATGTCAAAGATTCACTTCTGACTTGGGTTGAGTGGATATGAATGAGTGGTTGACAATTAGAAGATTTAGAACCCCGAAGAAGTCTCATCATACCAGCTACAGCTCTGCTGCAATACTAACATTACACGATAGGCGCCGCTGTGAGACCGTCTCGGCAGGTCGTCGTTGTATGAGTGAGTCGACCACAAGAGTTTTCGAATGCAGGATGACTGCAACCTACATGTTCTATATATTAAAGGATTCAAAATTCAGTTCTGACCATTCAAGCTCATGATAATTTCTTCTTGGCTTAGTTTATTAATCAAATTCTCAGCTTGCAAAGTTCCAGTTAGCTAGGTCTAGAAAAAAAAAAACACAAGAGTGAATTCTGTAGTATTCTTTAATGGATGTTTCCTGTAGATGAAACAGATGGGACATGAACAACAGGCAAATCACACTGAGCATGTGCTAGACCTATGGTGTTGGACCAGAGAATTTCACAGCTTCTGACATGAACATTTGTAACAATGTTTGGTGATTCAGGCCTACATCCACAGATGCCTTCTTTCCCAGAACATAACCAAGATTTAAATTCATAAACCCTTCTGGAAGGATCCAAAGTGTGTTGCAATGTGTAATAATGCAGGCATTCCTCCCTCTGGTCTTTTCTATGTGAAGAGCACAAAGGGGTAAAAAAAGATTATGCCTGTTATTGAAAGGGCACAGCCTTTTAAAGATGGCCTACCATTGTGGTATACAGAAATTTGCGCACATGAGGATGTTCGGGCAGAAACACCAAGAGTGACTCTTGTCCACATGACTGTTGGACAAACAGAACATTACATATCAGATATGTAGCAACAACCTGCATCTCTCTCTTTCATCATCCACAACACCAGTCCTTTCAGGACTTCAAAGTACAAAAGAAAACAATAACATATTTCTGACTCTGTTCCATATAGTAAAACGTTTGTTGTGCCAACACCGTGGCACATTTTCAGCTGTGAAGGTACATAAACATCCCTGTGAATTCTCTGGGCAACCTACTCTGGCTAAAAGGACGTCAACATCACGGCACAGGAATCGACTATACGGGTGATGTTAGGTCTTCCTCTATGTTTTTGCTACTAAAATATACATAGCCTCTCACATTCAATATAGACAAATCTCTACATAGTAGGACAAAATTCTGAAGAAACTACAACACCAATGCTCTTTGTACAAATGCCCTTCCCAACAGAAGGTGCCAGTGGTGTGGTCAGGTCAGGTGTCTGACCTTGAATTTGCTAGAAGTTGGTCAAGGTCAAGCTGGAAGACCTGAAAACGGTGGTACTGCATAGCTTAATGAGAAACTCAGTATCTCTTGAAAGGCTGTATAGATTGCATCAAGGTCTGTGGATCATAGGAGTCATAGATGCAACATTCAGTAATTTTATTTTCTTTAAATTGTTTGAATGTCATCACTTAAATTAAGTGCCAAAATTACTATCGAGTCCTATACACAAAGAAACATAAGACTGGAAATAATAGCATTTGTCCAGTGTAAGGTGGTCGTTAGTGTGTTTCTATCCCAACCTCTCTGCTACAAAATATGTACTGACAGGAAAAAAGCAAGAGGCAAAACAGGGAGAATTTGTGCCCCTGACATGACCACATCACTGGCACAGCAGAACTGGGTAGAATGTAGACTGAAGGCTACAGAAGGGAGGGCACGTCACAACAAGCTTCTCCATAACAAATGATTATGATCAATTAATTTACATCACATTGATTGGAAATCTGTACAACATTGGTTCGTTTGTATACCAAACCTGTGATCACGACTAAAAATCATACTGGTTAGTTCAGCGGATAAATATAGAGTTTTGGTCTCCTATTTTATCTTAAAGTTCACATTAGAACACAACTTACAACAGGCTTTCTCGTTCACACTCATGACAGTGAAAAATGTGTTAAAATTCCCCAAAATGGACATAAAAGCTAGTCATCAGGAATTAATGTCTTTAAAAAAAAGGAATACATATTCTGTACAAACATCCTAAGAAATGAGTTAGATAGAAAAACTAAAAACCATGTTAAAATGTCCTCCATTTGTCATTGTATTCACGCATGATTCATACATCTGAATGTTTTCACGCATGATTCATACATCTGAAACATTCACAATTCATTGGCAGTTCATAAAGGTTTTCTTCACATACAAACCTTGAAAAGGTTTCAAATTACACAATCTTCTAGGACGATATGCACCATTGCTATGTTACATTAATTCTCTTCATATCCACATCACAGTTTGGCAGTCACTTTTTTCTTTTGCATGATTGCAGACAAAATATGTGTATGAGTGATTGAATGGTCCAACTTCGGCCAGCTTCACTGTGCATAACTGACACCTTGTGACAACCATCCAAACTGCAGTACAAATACAGTGGCTCTTCTTGAGTCCAAAAGGAAGTCTGAAACAGCAGCACCCAGGCTGCCTCTGTACAAAAGCACCTCCTGGTGATGTCTAGTGGTCCTGCACATAGCTACACGCTGTACAACAGCACCTCCTCCCGACATTTGCAGAGCTGGAGGGGTGCACAGGCTATCTGGCCTGCGAGTCTTCAGTGGAATTGACGGAGACATCCCTGTCCTTGCTGGTGTTCTGCTCCTGTGCAGGGCTGCCGCCTGCAGAGCGGGGGTTTGTGGCAGGAGAGTTGTTCGTACTCCTGGGTGCAGAGTTGGCACTTGCAGATGGAATGAGAGGGGGTGGGTTGGAGGCCGGCGAGCTACTGGCCTTGTGAACAGAGTTGGTGTGAGAGGAAGGTGGGGTGGCCGTGGGGCGGGGGTAGTGCATACCGCCCGGGTACATGGGGTGCATGTCCGCCCCACCGGGGACCATCCCCAGCATTTTGCTCCTCTCAAACTCTTCCCTCATGAACCGGTCGCGGTCATCAGTGCGGAGGTGGGCGGCGCGTTCCATGTCGTTGCGCAGAAGGCTGTCACGATTGTACTCGAGCGGCTCTCGCTCTCGGAATCTGTCGTGTGGGAGCATGTTGGGCGCCGTCAGCCGGTGGATCATGTGATCACGCATCATGGCTTCCCGGGCCATGAAGTCATTTCTGTGGTGGAGCTCCGCCCGGTTGAAGTCGAATGCACGGTGGTACGAATCACGGAAGGGATCCCTCATGGGGTCTGCGGGCCACATCCCGAGGTGCGGGCCAGGCAGGCGCGGGCGGTCAGGCAGTCCGAACTGCCCCGCCATCATACGAGTCCTCTCCAGCATACTGATAGAACCCATGGTGGGAACAATGCCGGGGTGAGAAGTGATGTCTGCCTCACTGCGAGGCCTCTCCATGCGCTCTAAAGATGACGCGCTGTGTCGTTGCCTTTCCGACACAACCAGAACCTCCCCATCTTCTTCCCTCTTCTCCTCCTTGACTTTGACATCATTAGGTTTGGCCACGTTGTTAAAGGCACTGTCTGACTTTCCGTCATGTTGGCCGCTGGACTTATCCCCGGGAAATCTGTAGGGGGAGATGCGACTGTCTGGTCCGTTTTGCAGTGGTCTGTTTTCTGTGCTCCTGGCAGAATCGCGACCGTCTCTGGACCTGTTGTCCTCAGTTCTAGACTTGTTTTCGCCATTGTCGTGGCTGTTGGCATGGTTCCTCTCCCTGTCGTGTTCCTTCATGTGGTCCCGTGAATCGTTCCTGTGGTGCTCTGAGGCCGGCGACTTTGACCGGTCTCGTTCATGTTCCCTCTCTCGTTCCCTCTCTCGTTTCCTAGTGATAAGGCAAAGAGGTAAAGAGTCATCATTCAACATGCAGGAAAAACATGTCAGGTAAGATTCATTAATTTTCCTCAAGGTGGATGTACTTTCTGAATTGATTTAGGCATAATATAGCAGTTTTGCTTAGAAAAATAGACTCTCCTACTATTAGTATTCTTCATTCCATTTACTACACAATCACTAACCTTTCCCTGTCCTTCTCTCGCTCCCGCTCTTCTTGTTTCTCCTTCTCCCGTTGTTCCCTTTCCGCCTCCGACAGCAGGCTGGTTGTCTGAGACTCGGGCTTCAGCGAGCTCGGGCCCCACGGGTTGGGGTTGGGCGGCGTTGGAAAGGACGGCGGGGTACGGTGGAGTCGGTTCCAGGGGTCGTGGGGGTTACCCAGACCGGGGATCGCTGGCATGTCACGGTTCCCAAACATGGAGCCGTTCCCTGTAATGGGAGAATGTTTCTGTCTTACTGCCAATGCAATAGTCATGATTGTATTCTGAATGGCAACTTGCCACACAAGTTTACTATCATAATGACATGAACTTCCTCAGCACAGATTTATTCCGTAACTTTATGTTTTGGTTGTTCCGACCATCTACAATACAATGTCAGGGAAAACTGTTGTGAAAAGCTTCCAGAGACAAACGTGGATCACATATAGAATGGTAACATCATAAATGTACTACACAAGAACATACCGAGACCTCCAAATCCCAGCGAGGTTCCCAGGGGTCCAAAGTTGGGCCGAGCGAATGGCGACATTCCAAATGGACCAGGTGGGCTGAGGAAGGAGTTGTGAGCTGAAGGACCAGGTGCTGGACCGAAGGGTGTCGCTGGGGTGTGTGGCAAACCACCTGAAACAGGACGGAATGTTGGATGTATGGAAAAAATGCAGCTTTCAGGGTCTAATACTGTCTAATTCTGTCAACATTACATTCCAGACCAAGAACTAAAAGATTACTCTTTCTGGGTATTTGAACTACTACAATTCTGGTACAAAAAAATACCAAAGGTATCCTACAATGTTACATTTCAGTTACAGTTACAACGTTTTAAGCTACTGGATGGTGGAAACGTTGTTGCGTACCCTTACCAGCTGACTGTAGCATGGAGGTTGGACAGGACAGCTCGTGTGAGCGGTGCTGGATGTTGAACATGTTGGGACCACCGGGCGGTCGTCCTAACAGGTCCGGCTTGTGTCCCTCACCCTGGGCCTCGGCTTTGGCCTGTAAGGATGTAAAGGAAAAGCTTGCACTCATAGAAGAAACAACTACAATTGTATACTATGATAGCCACAGTGTTGAAGAGAAATTTCAAAGCTGATTGTGTTGAATTCCTCACCTTCTGTTGATGGTGGTAGATCTGCCAGGCCACATGTACATGGACAGCACACCACTTGCCTGTCTTCTGCTGGAACACAGTGCAAGAGAGGTGCAAAACACTTAGTACAGACTTGTATCAATTCCAATAGACTAAAATGCTAGTACAAATGCATCTGCACCCACCACCACACCAACATCCCTACACCTTCGAAATGTGATAGCAACAGAGAGGACTGTATATTTTGATTGTGTGAGCACTGACGTACATGTATGTTGGAGTGTGATGGTATTGCAGTACACCTTGCCTAGCAATGATAGAATGCACCTTTTTTTACACCACAGTGTTATACATGTACATTGTGTCACTGATTACAGTAAGTCCAGTGGTTTTGACAGATGTACATATGTATGATGCATTTTAGATGACAAACCTGGTACCATGGTTATAGATGTTGTGAATTTGATTCAACAATTATTTCATGTGCACTTATATCAAATGAGAAACAGTGTGTGGCAACTGTGTCACTGATCTACTGAGCCTACACAACTGTCAAGTACACTGGACTTTCCAGTCAGTCGCTATGCACAGTGGGCATAGAGCAGAAAGTGCCATTCAGGGAAGAACAGCAGCAGACTGATGTAGAATGCAGGAGAAGTGCATGTAAAATGTGTATCATGCATTGTGTTTGTTTACAAGGTGTGTAGAAATATGACATGTTATGGTGTTTCTATCTACACTGCTACACTGTAGAGACCTAGCATACAATTGGTGCATGTTATGATAATGAATGTATATGACAAGAAGTCAAGTACAATTCCACAGACAAACTTCACAACCCACCAGCATACATTTACTGTACATGGTCAGATGACTGTTTTCTCCTGAAATACAGCACCTACTAGCTCATCAAAGTCCTCAGGCTATCTCCCAATTTAATTTGAACAAATCAACTCCTACTCAAAAAGCAACCTTTCATTTGACCTTGGTAATCAAGGGTTTGACCTTCCAATCAGCAAGGGTAAAGGGTCAGCCAAAAGTAATGAAAACTCCACCCAACAGGATGATGGGAAGGGCCCGAGGACCCAACTGGGAAATCAAAAGCTATTGTTTCTAACTGACATTTCTGTTGCCACAAGGTTATGGGTTAGGGGCAAAGATCTAACCAAATCTATTACAATGTAGCATTACATGTATGGTGGTCATTCTAGTCTGCTCTTTCATTTTGGAATGAAGACAAGATAAACTTTCTGCAGATTTAGCAACTCTGTGTTCAGTGTACATAATTCCGGATGATAGGTTGTGAGTAGAGTATATTGTGCAGAGATAGATAGATACATGAATATGTACAAGACTGTGTATCAGCAATTTTGTTGTTTGTGATCTAAGCATATACATGTACTGTAGTGTGAGGTGTATGTTTAGTGGGGTGTGCAGCGTGGGTTTGTCCTGCACAAGGCAGCCAGAGTGGGTACTGTAAGAGCTGTGTGAGAGAGATTGTAAATGGGCACCTTTGGGGTGGGTTCTTTGGAAATGCCGAGAGGTGCCCCAGGAATCCTACCGAGGGGAAATCCGCTGCGAGCATCATCGGCCTGCGTCAGCAAAGAAAAGGCATGGATACATGTCATAGGGACTGTACACCAGGAGACAACCCTGTGCACTCATCTAACAATGAAGAACTACGAATCCGTATGCACAGATCAAACTGTTTCCTGGAGTACAGTCGAGTGAAGCAGGAAAAAAGCAAGAACAACCCTGAAGCATGCAATTAGAGTGTTGAAAATCATCAAGCATTAATTTTGGCTGACTGGCTCAGGCTTTGATTAGATTAAAGTAAAATCAACTGTCCATCTACTGTCCTTAACAAATGTGCAACTTATTTGATAAGGTAATACGAGGCACTACCTATAGAACTGGCAAGACAAATTGGAGATACAATTGTTTTTAATCAGTCTAGGCTTTAGTCATCTAATTTCTTAATCTTAACAAAATTCTTCATACATGTAGCTATGCCATACCTTAGGCTGGAATGCTCCATGTGTCCCTGAGCCGAACGGTCCGGCGTTGTGAGGCAGCATGGGTGACAGCCCGGCAGGGTACGGTGGGATCCCTAACTGGCTCCCCAACTGCAGAACACAGGATCATTTCAAAGTTCATTAAACTGCTAAAAAAATCTTTTTGTCAAGGATGAAAACATAAAAAAATTTGCACTGTTCTGTTCTCACCTACGAGACCACTACATACAGCAAGGAGATAACATTTGACATCAGTTTGCAATGGACAAACCAATACGTTGCAGACGTACAAAACTGATGTTTGCAACAAAGACAGCAGGAGCAAAGATGATGGAATGATACATTCCTCCAGCTGTAACATGTATGGGTCAGCAGGCTGCATTGCTCAAGCAATAAAAACTAGTCTAGGAAGATGCATTTAGCTGCAGCATGCAAGAATTGTTGTTTATCCAGCATGATGCCTAAAGTAAGGACATGGAAGGCATGGCTGTAGCAGCTGGTGAACTGGGGATGCTTGGCTCATGACATGAGTAGCTTCAGCGGGGTGAGGAGGCAAGGGAAGTAACAAAATAAGATGGAGGGTATCACATGAAAGACCAACACCTTATTTGTGGTTTGACACTACAGGTTGCATGCTTTCCTGTAAAATGTTTTAAAATGTTTAGAAAGGTTACACTGTGATGAACCTGAATGGTTATAGAACATGTTACAAATGTACCTTAAGAGCATGATTTGTTAACATCTTTTCATATAATCCAAGCACAGAGACTCAATTGGGGGATTTTTGTAAGTTTGCCATAGTAACATAGCAGCCAATCCAGTAATGCTTGCTTGTGGGATAACCCACTTGACAGTTGAAAATGGAGATATGCAGTAGGCTTTATGAGATAGAGAGGAGGCGGTGGATCATGCGTGGAATGATGCGGCATGACAGCGAAGGTTGGCAGCTGTGCAGAAAAGGCAGTTTTTGGCAAGAAAGAAACATCATAAGGTACAACTTACAGTTGGCCTATAAAACGGAGCTGCATCGATCTTCGGGAACTTGTCAAACTGCGGGAGGTTTAACAGGAGAGAGTTGTCACTCCAGGTTCAATGTTTCAGAAGCTCATTTCCACATCATCCCATCACATGATCAATAGCCAATCAGAAGCTGACATTTGCAACTGATTAACCAATAAGATGCACATGGCAGTTGTGAGTCACCACGACTGTCATATCCATCCTCATCTCCTCATTGGCTATGTTATTCTCTAAAAATTGTTTATTGAAGAAGATTGGTTTGTTCAATGATAGCATTACAGGATTAGACAATTACATTGGCACATGTTGCTAGAACTGTAAGCAATTACAGCACAGAATGTTACACAGAACAAAAAATTCAATGCAATACACAACTTACCGAGATAATAATCACCATATATGTATATATGTATATAATGTACATTCTCTAGCCATTTACTATAATCACACTTCAACTGATTTGAAAGGTTGTGCACTTATCTTTTAAGTACAAACATTAAAATTTGTGAAGGAAGAGAATCAAAAGAATTGTGTGTGATGAGTCCTTTATCATCAGTGTTGAGAGAAAAACACACACAGCAAACCACACTTTTGAAGATGAGATTGATCATTTGCTGATAGATTATTCTGTAGATCATTGTATAGATTTACAAATCACAAAGAGTGACCACTGCCACACATTCACGGCACACAAGTCAAGTAGCCATACTGACCCATGGTAAGACCGGGAACGGATGATACCTCAAATGCACTGAGGGGAAACAAAACAACAAAATTCTCTCGTAAATATCAGGACCGTAAACTAGATTTTACCAGAGTAACAGATCGTACCATATGGGGTGCGGGCGTGGGGACGAGGGATCCTCCTAGCGGCAGGGGAGGGTGGTAGCTATGGTTGTGGGTATGTTGGTGTTGGTGCATATGCTGATGCTGATGTTGGTGGACCTCCCCCCCAAGGCCAAGGAACGGCCGAACCGGAGCGGGTCCCCTCCCCTCCGCCGCGGGTCCCGCCGCGGGTCCCGGCCTGTCCTGGGATGCTAGGAAGCGACTGTCCAGCTCGCGACGCAACATATCTTGCTCTGGAAAATAAACAGATGGAAATGTTAACACAGAGAAGAAGAAAAGGAAATTTGTCCCCTCATGGATTGGGAAAGTTCTGACAGGAAGGCAAAAGTTGCAGCTAGTTGTAACTTTTTAAACTTTAAAATGTCACATCAAATTATAGGCTAGGACTTACTGTTGTCAATCTAAGATATTTATTGTCAATGACTTTCCGAAAGCTTTACTTCAAATTGTAATGATACAGCAAATTTTTCTAAGTTGTTTCTATTAGATTTTGCATTCACTTTAAAATTGAAATTGGGAGGGAACAACTGAACCAAGGAAAAATCTCACCAAATGAAATTGTGCTGTCTAAAGCAAAAACACCAAAATAGTGTGCAATCAAGACAAATCTGGTACCTTGCAGAGCACTTTGGCAGAACGTCTTGTTTAAAGGTCATATTTATGCATTCAAGTATGATATTCCATCTATAGTTTTCAAATGTTGCATCGTAAAAGATACAATCTGCAACAGGCAAAATTCTGAAGCAACACTGACCAAAAACACAATGAAAAGTGAAAAATCTGGGTTTTGTACAGGCGCAGTGCGTTCTGCCAATGTGCACTACTTCAGCACCTTGACAATAAGCGAACCAACAGAAGAATACAGTGAGTGAAAGTAGGAGAGTTTTCTGGACATGGCAGAGTCCTTACATCCCCGGCCAGCGACGCTGTGTGCATGCATGGTTGTTATGTGTTTGTGTATGGGGCAAAATGTGTTAGTAGACAGAGATTACAACACTTAACGACTGCCAATGCTTCCTTTAACGCTCACCATCTTACACAGACATGCAACATTCAAGCTTGAACACTAGACAGTGCAACTACTGTATCTTTACAACAAGATCATACGAAGCAATGTGTTCACATTCTGTCTCAATCACTTTACAATGGAGCGTTCACAGCATGCAAATTTAAAGATATATATGTGGTAACAAGGTACATGCTACATCCCAACATTGTAATCATCGCATGCAAATAGAAAAAAGTGCTAAATGACACAGACATGTATATTGCATACTGATTGCTCAATACAATACACATTTTCATTTTCTTCAAGCTATCTTTTGAAACAACTTCTTAACAAGATATAACAAGATACAAGCAACGTTAACTATAAGTGAATAACATTCAACAACTCTTTCTTCACATTAGTATTAGGGCATTAAAAACTGCTTCTAAAGTAAATGCTGTTCAAAAATACTTCAAGTTTTTAGAGATGTTACAGAAGATAGAGCGACAAATTCCTCACCCCTACCTGCCCCGAACGAGGGACCCGTTCCGGGGAGGCTAAAGCTTGACGACGTGAGCGGTGGCGGCGGTGGTAGTGTGGAGAACATGCTCATACTGTGGGGGGTATGAGGTGGGGGTGGCGGCGGACCCAGGCTGGGAGAGAACGTCGGCGTGTGGCTGGTCAGCGAAAGCGAAAAGCTCGGGTTTGGTCCTACGATCGGTGATATGTGCGGCGTCGGGCCGATCCGCGGCGGCTGATGATTTGGACTGAAAAAAAAAGGGACTGTCAGTATGATATACATCTCTTTGTACCGAGTGTCAATTAGAAACTCTTCAATGTGTCCTACACATGTACCGACTCTTCTACAAAGGCACATGTATTTCAGGGGTTAATGTGTCCTGAATTGACGTAACTACACTAACAGAGAAATTCTACCAAGTTTGTCCAGAATTTCACACAGCAGTTTCACCACTTCAGATCCAGCTGAGCACTTGACCTTGAGCCCCCCTTCCTTCTCTCCAGGAAGTGACAGTCTAACACTCCCTGGCAAGTTGGGGGTATTTACTTCTTGTAGTTTAACTCTAACATTGACAAAGAGAAAATATCAGGTCTTTAACAGAATACAGAGCTAATGTCATCTGGATGTTTGAAAGAAAAGCTTTATCTGCAAAAATGGAAACATAGTGTTGTTTCCAGCAGATGTCATGCATGAAATTTTAACTGAAATACTAAGAACCTACTGTTAAAGTCAATAAATAAATCGACTGCATTTCAATGATTGTTCCCATTGAACCCAAAGATTTGAGGTGTAGAAGTGTTTTGTAGCAGTTCACACATGGGAGACCACCAAACACTCTCTCGTGACATCCTGCAGTAAACAGTTGGATCTGCTGACGGCTACCCTCAAACTGTCAACCTGTAAACACAGGCCAGGATCCATACGCAGGGCTCCGCGGATTAAACTCTCTCACTTTGCCGAGAAAACTCATCACAAACCCACGACAACCCCTAAGTTGACAAAGCTGACCACAGACGGAAAGTTATACATCAGCACAAACAGTGAAAAATTTGGAGACAAACTGGTATAAAGCGAGCTCCATGATTAGGCCATTATGAAGCTGGTGTGACCGGCAGGTGTAAACACTGCTGTGGCTCTATGTAGAAGAAGTTTAAATTTACTGGGAGGTATCTAATCCCTTCCTTCATCAATCTGGACACCAGACTGTTGGTCTGTCAGTCAGACTGCCTGCCTTTGGCTGGAGTTTATTTTCTCTGCTGGGATTTGCTTTGACTAGATCACTGGCCTATTCTTCCCACAGGAAAGATCACACATCCTCTCCATACAAAAAGGCGACAGAGGTTAAGTCTGACTGACGATAATGGGTGTGCCTTGACCTAGCCCTCATACCATATGGTCCACATCAAACTTCAACAGCTCCCCCTGTATGTTAATATTAACATTGCAGAATCCTGCTAAACAGTGTCCAGTAAAATTAAAAAGTAGCAACACCCAAGAGAACTGACTCTTAGGTGAGCTGGGACCCAGCAATTAAAAGTTAAAGCAGTGCAACTACCATTTCCAAGAAAGCTTAATAGCACTTAAAGCCTGCCACAACATCTTATAAATAACATTTGTAGCCACAGATTCTACATTTTTATATCATGAATGGCAAGGCCCCAGAGGTGGTGCCAAAATCGCCTGCTTGGCTGGGCTGAGTTGGACCTGATCCCACAAGTTGTGTGCATCAGTGGAGCAGATAACATCCAATTACTCCCCATTCTCCAGAGGCCCACACACATTCCCCATGCTCATTTTCATCTCACAAGGTTGGCTGAGCAGTTTAACTTGTGATGAATTTATTTCAGGCTTGAGATCTCTTGTGAAACAATATGCACTTATGTATTGGGCACAGAAACATCTGCAGAAATTGGATGATTTTGCTTCAACTTTCCCCAACACAAACTTGCTCCAAACTCTTCTGAAGCCAACTTCCACCATACTTGTCTTGAGAAATTGTTTGTTTTCCAAGGAAAATATCAATAATTTAATATCAATATCAGTCAGCCACTTTCTTTGTGCTTAGGTATGTTTTCATAGATTATTCCTTCCATCATCAGTGTACAGAAATGGCAGAAATCCTGAAAAATGTTGTACCGGTAGTAATAATGACTGTGACCTTACATTGATCTAAACAAATGTTACTGGCAGGAAATGGGGAATTAGACGTCTATGCCTGACTCAACATTCTTACTCTATCAGTATTTCAGTCTTTCTGTTGTTTGCAGACAAAACAGGTACCAGACAACAACAATACTGTCATCGAAGGCAACTTTAGTGAACTCTATTTCAACATGTGTTCCTCTTTTACAGTACACTCTTTGTTCTTGAAATTATGATAAATGGGCAAAAATTAACACTGACATATGCATGAAAATATATCTAACATGAATGTGCAAAACTAAGTTATTAAATATGTTTTAAAATAAGTTTTATATTAGTTACAGACATTACAAATTACAGCCAAATAACACTCCTTTACTTAGATATGGAGGGGCACTTTAACATGACCTTGCTCGGTGTTATTTGAGAGCTTCCCCATCTGATCCATCCTGTTTCTTATTATATTTAATAAGTCGAGGGGATTACCACTGGCTGCCTCTCACTCAGTTTCCAAATCTGGTCTAATCCCAGTCTAATCCAATAATGCTGCTGAGTGACTCATCTTGTAATCACAGAAAAGCACGAGGAAATTCCATCCACATGCATCTGGCCTTCAGCAACGGTATGCATGTGTTACCCTTGGCAGAGGGTATGAGGTTTCTTTTTCAAGTGGTTACCAGCACAAGACAGACATACTATGTAGATCCAATTCTCCAGCTTAAATACGTCTATCAACCTGTAACAGGCCATCACTATATAAAAGGTAATGAGTGGAGTGACTCAAAGAAGTAATTTCAGAGGAGTTGCCTGAACTTTTTTCATGAAAAACTGTAACCGAACACCTGGTCCACTTACAACCAGAGACACACCTTTGTGGATAAAACTGATACTTCCTTTAACTTAAGGAAGCCTTATTAGCCTGAATCTTATAGGACATAAGGGAAGTCACAGGATCTTGAACAATGAAGTCGGTATTTTCACAGATCAGCCCATTCAGAAGAGCACAAAAAGATGTAATCTTTGAGGAAATCTCCGGGAATTACCTGTCAGTAGGTCATGCATATCAAGGTCTATAAAGATTTTGGAAGGCGACTTTAATGATAAGCACGGATCAAAGGTTTATCTCACAGATTTATTCTGAGAGGCAGGTGGACTTTCTTTACGTAATGACATGAATTATGACACCTACACCCCTAATTTGAAATTATATTACTGACAGGTGATATTCAATGCTGGGCAACACATAAGTCAGTAATTGGAAAATGCCTTTAGGAAATGTATGTTCTCAATTTGTCTCGAAATCTTTTTTTCCAGTGGCTTTTGGAAGAGCAAAATTCTAATTACAATCTGAAATTTTGTGAGGACAGACTTCCAGTGGGTCATGATGAAAAGAACACTTTTGTCTGACCACACCTGGACAGTCCCCTACAAACTTCACCTGCGTCTGATCATAACACCAGGTCCTCTCCAAAAACCTGTCTTTCATTTGGCTAACAAGCTGGAATGAAGGCTTGATACTCCTAAGCCTGCTTCAATAACCTTTCTGGGTCTGGAGATTAACTCAGACAATCTTCTTGTCAGGTGAGTTGGGAGGCTGACATCTCCGGGGATTTAGGCAGTATTGCTCTGGGTTGGCACAACAACTTCTAATGAATAGCTAATCTCAGCTGAGCCCATCTCGATGATCCTTTAATCCAGCAGGATTTAGCTCTGTCTCCTTTTGAAACCTCACCGAGAAATCCAGTAGATAAGTAGGGGAGGGGGTGGCAAATGGGACCGACCAATAACGCTACACTGTGGGAACATACAGGTAGACTTGTTAAGATGAGGGGGTGTAGAACAAAACATTCTCTATCATTCAAAAAACTGAACAGAACAGGCAATTACATCAACCTTTCTCCAATGGGACACATCTCCTTCTATAATGTATATATCGATCCTGCGTCAAATAAAAACATGACGCTTTTGGGACCAAAAACAGGAGGCAGATAAAACATTCCTGAGGCATGAGCAAACCTTACTACAACTGCAGGTCTGTGCTTCGTAAAAATTATTCTAAATCCAAGATTTCCGCGCTTACCCCTGAGACTATTGCTTTAACTGAGTTGTGACTATATACTATTGGTGCCAATTGAAACACAAGTTAGCCTAGGGTGTCCTTGGAATTTCCTTACAAAAACCCTGGAGTAATCTGGGATTATAGGATCTGGGGCTTATAGGTGATTTTCTTGCAAGCGTGGCATGAGGTCACCCTTTGCCATATAAAAGCTCTAACTTGGACTCCATGTTACAATATCTATTTGACAACTGTTGTCTCTTTTGTTTGACACTTCCAAATACTTGAGATACATGTATAATGTACATGAACATGGCCAAAGAAATACAAAACATTTTTTTGCTTTATTTACATGTAAAACATCTTTGGCCATTGCCATACTCAACATATAACAATTAGATTTTCGTGTGATCTAAGGAAGTTCACAAAACAACTTAACAGAGTCACAGCTTTTTAGAACATGTTAGATGGAAGACTACTTGTACATGTACAGTACTAGTTCTTACCTTGTCCAAGAGTTGGTCTTGCTGAAGGCTGTGTCTCTGTTGATGCTCTCTCTCTTCTTTTCCTTCTCCTCGTGCCCTCGACTGTGGTTGTGCACTTGGCTGTGAGAATGACTGTGGCTGCTGTGGGTATGGGTATGGCCGTGGCCGTGGCTTTGACTAAGTCCTTGGCTGTGACTGTGACTATGACTATGACTGCTATGACTGTGGTTATTACTGAGACCGTGTCCGTGGCTGTGCACGTAGCTATTACTGTGGTGGTTGTTCACGACCGCTACTCCGCTCGGCGCTGACGAGACAGGCTGCTCCCGTTTCTCATCGCGGTTGTGGTTGAGGTTGGCGGTTATTGAGGAAATGCTAAAACTACTGTTGAGAGTGGTTGTTGGCGGTGCCGCTGGAAAATAAAGAAACAGAATACATGAGACTTTCTTGTTACCAATTTATGTACATGATAGCTAGTAAACCTCAGACAATCAACATTTGGAAACGATAGAAAACAGGCATACCGGTAGCTTGCAGCATAGTATACATGTAGCACCTGTGGGTAAGATACATTATACATATCCACAATGACGTGCCATATGACTAACATGTTGTTTTGTATACAAAAAAGGTAACAATACTTTAACCGAATTGCATAGTTTATGGCCGGCCTTGTTTTCCTTACGTTAACTATCAATAAAACTGTTGTTACTATTAACACGTGATGACGGGGCAGACTGCTTTTGTTCTAGATCCCGGGCCCTATCCAGGAAATCAGTCCCTCTATCCCAGGATACCTCAGTCAATTGAAAGTGACTTCTGCTTAATGCCTGACACATCACAACAACAGAAGTTCCCAATTTTGTCTATCTCTTTAGAAGCCCCAGGTTTACTGATGAGGGCACATGCCTGCCCTCCCCTCCCCCATGGGTGGCACACATCCCAGATGAGTTTATTGTTCTTACCCCAGGTATAAGGAGATGAAAGTTCCACCTGATTGATCTAAGCTAAATAAAACATCAGATTTCAATTTGGGAGATTCCTGGGCTCCTTTAGGGATTAATAGCAGGTCACCAAGGTCAACTCAACAAAGTCGAGCTTCCTTCAGGGCCTGTGTCCTCACACACCTTTGTCCCATTAGCAGCACTGATGTGATGAAAGTAGGTAACTGGACACCTCTAGATATATATCAATCCATAGGCAAAGGATAACAGCATACAATACTCCTAAATCTGCTGAAAGATGGAGCAT